GCTTAAGGTTATGTATGTAACCTCAAAACATGCAAGGTGAAACCTCCCACTCACAGAAGCAAAGTCACACTATCAAGATCTGTAACAAAATATAAATTAATCTCCCTGAAGAAATTTGTCAGAATTTAAGATGTGTTGAACAAAGCACTGGGATAAACTCAGAATCTCCAAATGGAACTTCCAGAGCTATATAGAAATCTACCTTTCAAAGAACAGTCTTAAAAAAAAAAAGAAAGAAAGTACTAGAACAACTACAGGCTATAGGTAGACTGAATTTCATAAAATCTCCAACCTAGCTATTTTCTGTACCAATCTGTGCATAGAATGAGATTTTTTTTTTTTTTTTAGGAAATAACACTGCAAAGCCAAACATCAGACTCAGCAAGTCACACAGCAGGTCTTTTATTTCCAAAGGGGAAGAAGCTGCAGGGAGAACCAGGAGCAGAGAGAGAGAGAGCTATCAAGGGAGGGAGCGTGCATTTATAGCATAGGGGCATTTACCACAAGAGAAAAAGAATGAAAACATGCATAATTTCACTTAAATTGGAATATACAAAAAAAGATATTACAAAACTGGAAAATACAGTATCTGAAATTCAGAGCTTTAAGTAGCAGACTACACAAACAAGAAGATGATGTGATTATTAAATTCCAAGGCAAGTCAATAACAAATATCAAATTTGAAGTACAGACAAAAGAAAAAAAGACAAATGCAAAGAACAAAACAATGTAGAAGAGACGTGGGATACAACAAAAAGATATAATTAAGTCACTAATAAGGAAAAGAGAGCAAAAGCAATTTCTGATCATTGCTATAGAGTCCCAAAACTAATGAAATGCATCAACCCACAGAAAATAAAAATCAGTGAACCTCAAGTAAGGTGAATTAAAAAAAAAAAGTCTGAGCATGTTAGTTCAGTAACTGATGACACAGATGAATCCCTTGAAAATAGTCAAAGGAAAGATCAATTTCAAAGACAGACAACTGAAACTATTTTATAAGAGCAAACGGAATTACAGCTTCAACATGACAAGGAGAAACAAGCTTGCTAAGCCGAACTCTCTAAGCATGAAAAAGAATCTTTAAAAAAAAAAACAAATAACAATGCTTTCACATTTTTTTTCAGATACATAGAAACTAAAAAAATTCTTTTCTGGCAGATTTCATTGCAGCAAGTACCCCCAAAATCTTTAAGACTAAAAAAATAATACGTCAGATAAAAGAATAAAACCCCAGGAAGAAATAAAGTACACACAAAAGAATAAATATATGAGTAAACAAAAAAGTGGATATTTAATATTTTTAAATAATAATGTGTCTTAGGAATTAATGTGTAGAGAAAAAACACATGATAACAACAGTTGTTTTAAAAGTGTAAGAGGAAATACAAGATGCAACGGTTTTAAACTGAGAAATGGTAAAGTACCAAACAGTTAGGTAGACTAATAAATCATTGATGTCCACAAGGCAAAAATAAAAGAATATATAAACTAAAAGGCAACCAAGGAGGGGAAAAAATGCAATGAAAATATTTAATCCAAAATAAGCTAAAGAAAAAATAATGGAACTTGGAATATATGCAACAAATGAGATATTAAAAAGGCAAAATGAAGCTCAAAGAAATCAGTGATTGTATTAAATGTAGTTGAACTACACACTTGGTGTAGCTGACAGACTATCAGATTGGACTAAAAACAAAAACCAATAAACCAGCTATACACTATAAGAGAAACACTTTAAATAGAGGTATATATATTGAAAGTAAAAGGATAAAATAACTAATGAAAGTTGATATAACCATGTCATACAAAATTGGAGATTCAGCAATCAAAGACCAATATCAGAAACAAGATGCCCAAAACTAACAATTATTTACTGGAAAAAAAAAATTTAAACAATAATTTGAAAGCAAGAGCCAGCTACCAAAAGTAGGCTGAGAGTTCACGCACAGAAAAAGGGAAACATTTCCGAGTTTCCCATTTTTAAGGCTTTCCTACTGAGGATTCCAGATAGTGCATTAAGAAAAACTGATAGAATTAAGGGAGGAAATAGATAAGCCTCTGATCATAGTCAGGATTTTAGCTTCCTTCTTTTGCTATCTAAAAAAAACAACTTCAAAAAAAAAAATCAGTAAAGCCATGAAAGAAATCTGACATTACTATAGCTGCCAGGCCCAAGGACACAGAACCTGTTTTCAGCAATTGCAGAATAAGTATTTAAGTGAACATGCTAGGTTCAACAGAAATCGGCCATTGTGTTGAGTCCAAAAAATTCAATAAATTTTCAGGGGTAAATTCTAAAGTTTACATTATATAGACACATGAATTTAAATTATAAATCATAATGCTGATATTAGAGCTATCCCTGAACACTTGTAAATACCAAAGTAGTCCAAGAGGGTCACAGCATACGACCGGACAACTAAAACAATTTTTAGAACTGGTACCTAATCATACCTCTAGCATTACCTGCAAATTGGAGTGTATAAGAAACTATGCCGTGGTAATGGCATCAGCAAAATACAGACTGGAATACTCCTCAGAAAAAATGACGAGCTTTCTTCAACACATATTTACAAGGAAAACAAGCCAAGAGGACCTGTTAGTTAAATAATCTAAGAGCAAATGGAGTCGCTGTTGTGGCACAGCAAATAAACCTGCTACCTGTGAAGTTGCCAATTGAGGTGCCCCAGCAGGTGTCATTTTTTAAAGATTTATTTAATTTTTATTGGAAAGTCAGATATACAGAGAGGAAAAGAGACATAGAGGAAGATCTTTCATCTGTTGATTCATTCCCCAAGTGGCTGCAACAGCTAAAGTTGCGCTGATCTGAAGCCAGGAACCAGAAGCCTCTTCTGGGTCTCCCACATGGTTGCAGGGTCCCAAAGCTTTGGGCCATCCTTGACTGCTTTCCCAGGCCACAAGCAGGGAGCTGGATGGGAGGCGGAGCTGCCAGGATTAAAAGTGGTGCCCATATGGGATCCCAGCACATACAAGCCACTAGGCTACTACATCAGGGCCCCAGTGGGTGTCTTAACCACTGAGCCAAATGCCTGCCCCCACATTTTAACAATCTTGAAAATTTCTTTTTCTTTTTTTTTTTCACAATCTTGAAAATTTCAAAAACATTTAAATCTTCATAATTATTAAGCTCTTTGTGGAAATTATTTTTGTTTTATAATTTCTCCATGCATAACTGATTACAAGTATTTTGAAGAATGTAATACTTTTTGAGATTATAAACTCTGGAAAATTGATTTTCTAACAGATTGGCATTAGAACATAGAAATGGGTTGGTTTTATGTATTGATTTTTAAATCCTGCAATACTGTTAAGCACTATTAATATTTATAATTTATCAGTAGGCTAGCTTGTATTTCCTACATACAAAAATAATACTATCTGTGGACACTGAAAGCTTTATTCTTTCCTAATCCTTATCATTCATTTCCCTTGTCATGCTACACTATTTTAAACCTCGAATACAATCATAATAGGAGTCACAGCAATGGACATTTTGTTTCATTTCAGATTTGAGATAGGAAATTTCAGATATTTTACTTCTAAGTATGATCATTTATTATAAGTATTTTTATAGCTTTTATAGTAAAGAAACTCCCATCAATTCCTATCTTGTATATTTATCATAAATGAATGTTGGGTTTTTTTTACTTTTTAAATGTTAACTGACTTATTTTTATCTACTCAAAAGGCAGAGCAATAGGGAGGGACAGAGAAATAGATTCTTCAATCTGGTTTACCGCCCAGATGTCTGCCTGTGCTGGGGCAGGCTGGTCTCAGCATCCTGGCACTATGTCCCTCTACCATGTGGGCAGCTGCTGCTGCCGGGATGCGGCCACAGGAAGCTAGACTGGAAGAGGAGGAGCGAGGACTCGAGCTAACGCTCCAATATGGGATGCTGCTTTTCACCAGGTTTGCCTTTTTCTCCAAATCCTCTAACAAGAAGATTATATGCTTGTCCTACTTATTCTGATGACTTGGCAGAGTACATCATTTGGTAATATTAAATAAAACATGCATTCCTTAGATAAACCATATTTGATTATATCATATTTTCCTTTTTAGCTACTTAATCTTTTTACTTCAGGAAATTTATAATGAAGTTAAAAATTGAAGCGTATTCTTTAACTTCTCATTCCCATATTATTCTTGCTGGGTTATAATTTCAAGTTTATGTTAGCCTCATTAAGACAAGTTGGGTGATACATCCTATTCCAATTTCTTTGGAATTGTTTATATTAAACTTGGATTCTTTTTCTTTAAGTGTTTGTTAGAATTTATCATGAAAGTCAAATAAGTCTATAATCTTTGTGGAAGCCATTTACTTACATGTTCAATTCTTCCTTGTTCTAATATTAAAAGCTGTAATTTTCCAAATATTTGTTAATTTCTTCAAAATATTCAAGCTTACTGCAAAGTTAATCATGATATCCTTTTATTATTTCCAGAATGCCCTGCTCTAACAGAATACATAACTTCTCAAGTGTTAAGTTGTAAGTCTTTTGAGTTTTCTTTATACTCTCAGAAACTTATTTTGCCTTTATTATTGCAAGCCATCATCACCGAAACAGCAGAGTCATTAAAGAGGCCAGCACGTTCAGGAATCTGAATTCACAATTATCTAAGCAATATGGCTGTCTAGCATTAGAGCTCTCCAAAGTTAGAATCACTCTTTCTTTGCCAGTGTGGTTCATTTCAAGTGCAACAATTTTGAAATGATCTTACTTGCATTCTAGCAATTTAGGAATGAAAAACAATTTCAGACACTTGTAAGATTAATAACTTCATTAACTGAGCATTATCTAAAAAAATATATAATCCTACCTATTACCAAAATGAAAGCCTGCTAGTTACAGATGGTTCAAAGCTATAAGTTAAAAATGTGAGAGAGAAATGGCCCAAAGCTAAATTAAGAGATAAATTAAGGCATAAATTAAGAGAAACTGGAGAAGTACAGCTACACATTCCAGCTTACACACCTGTAACAGGATGCTCCATAGGGACATTCAGGCCGGTCATCCGTCTCCTCTTGACCTGGGACTGGAACATCTTCATAATCACTGTCACCAGGGTGGCTGAAGTGTTGAAAATGGACAGGATTCTTCCTACAAGAGAGATAAATACTGCATCAGAAAAAATAATCAGTGAAACAGTCTAGATTCACAGTGGATACAACAGCAACCAAGCAATACACATAGGATTATCCACAAAATGAACCAATGTGCAACACTGTTAAAAAAATAAATAAATAAACCTTAGAGGTCAGTGCAGAGGCATAGCAAGCTAATCACCCACCTGCAGTGCTGGCATGGCAACTGGGCGCCAGTTCAAGTCCCAGCTGCCCCACATCTGATCCTGTTCCCTACAGATGGCCTGAGAGAGCAGCAGAAGGTAATCCAAGCGCTTGGACCCTTATACACATGAGGGAGACCTGGAAGAAGCTCCTGGCTCCCAGCTTTGGCTTGCAGGCATTTGGGGAATGGATCAGCAGATTGAAGACCTCTTTCTACCTCTCCCCTAGCTCTCTGTAAGTCTGACTTTCAAGTAAAATAGATGAGTTCTTTAAACAAATAATAAATATAAATAAATTTCCAAAAATAAAGTTGAATGTGCTGGTGCTGTGGCACAGCCCGTAAAGTCACCTCCTACAATGCCGGCATCACATATGGATGTTGGTTCAAGCTCCATCTGCTCTACTTCCAATCCAGCTCTCCGTTAATTTGCCTGGAAAAGCAGCAGAGGGTGGCCCAAGGGTTTGAGTCCCTACCCTCTGGCTCTACCCTGGACATTGTGGCTTCCTACAGAGTCAAAGAGCAGATGAAAGATCTCCATCTTTCTGTCTCTTTGAAACTCCTTCAAATAAATAAATGCATCTTTAAAATTGATGATTCCTACTAAGTACAAACTCTTCCCCTCTCCTGCTGATTTCCCAACAGCCATAAGTCCATCATTTTGCTATTAAGTGTATCCTGACATGGTAGTATGGACAATGGCAGAGAGTCCAGCATCCTATTATCAAGCTATGTATAACTGTTTCATTCAGAGTCCATCTTTGACTTGGAAATAGAGATGAATACTGCATTGTATCTTCACATCTTGATGAGATAGTCTCTTACACAGTTACTATACATCCCTTTAAATGAGAAGCCATGAAACAAAATCAATAATAGGAAGAAAAATAGAAAATCTACAACATGAAGTTAAATAACATGCTAGTGAATGACCAGTAGTGAATGTCACTGTACAGTCTTTCTGGAACCTATTAGTCATTAGGTCTGAAGGCCACCCAGACTCATTTCGGGTGGAACCCCTAGTTTCCCAAGTTGGTACTATTTTCATTGTGAGACCAGTGTAATGCACTGAGCCAGAAGTAAGTTCTCTCCCAGCTCAGCACCTGTGCAGCTTGCTGCTGTTCCTTCAGCCCCATAGCACTTTTCTCAGTGCTATGGCACCTGATGTGGCACTGGTGGAGGTCTGGGTCTGCTGACCATGAGGTCTGGATGCCATCCAGACCTACTTCAAATGAAACCTGTAGGATGCCAAGTCAGTACTGTTTTTCCTGTGGGACCAGTGTAATGCATTGAGCTGGATGTAGGTTCTTTCCCAGCTTAGTGCATGTAGAGTTCACTGTTGTTTGTCCAGCCCACGCCCTCCTCCTACCACATACACACACAGCCTTTTGCTTAGTACACAAAATAGTGCCCAATGTGGCACCAGTGGAGGTCTAGGCCTTCTGGTTGTTAGGTCTGGAGGCCACACAGATCTATCTTGGGAGGAACCTGTAGGATGTCAACTCAGTACTCTTTCTCTGTGGGACCAGTGTAATGCGTCAAGCCAAAAATGAGCTCAACCCTGACTTACTACATGTGCAGCTCGCTATTGTCCCTCCAGCCCCACAGTCTGTTGGTACATGCAAGATCTGTGGCTAGGAATAGGCCTGGCTGGGGAGCTAAGGGGATGCCCCAGCTGGGTTGGAATTCCTATTGGTGAATGCAAAAGCCAGAATCGGGGCATTGTGTCAAACTATGAAATGTATGCCAAACAAAATAAACCATATAACATAAAATGTGCTATCTTAACCTTTCTAACCATATAACTCTATACCCATTAATACCTCATTCCTGTCTGCCCTTCCCCCATCATAATTTCTGTTTCTATGGATTTCTATGGATTTGAATATCCTAAAAACTTCATACAAATGGAATCATACAGTTAAGCATGTGTCCTTTTGTGCTTGGTTTATTTCATTGAACATAATGTATTCAACATTCATCCACAATGGAGCATATGTCAGAATTTCCTTCTGTGGATGCACTACATTTTGTTTACCCATTCCTTCCCTGATAGACATCTGGACTTTTATCACCTCTTGGCCACTGTAAATATTTTCTGCATGAAGACTGAGGTTCAGCTAATGTTTTTTGAAATCCTGACTTCAATTATTTTGGAGGCAGAGATGAGGCATAATATGATGATTCTATTTTTAAATTTTTTTGGAACTTTCATACTGTTCTCAATAGTGGCTGCATTTTGCATTCCCACAAATGGTGCACAAGGGTTCCTCATTTCTTAAACATTCCATAACTGGAATCATAGTTAAATTAAGCTTTCAATCTCTAAGTTCCATTAATTTATGACTTCAAAGTTTAAACTCCTGGATGAGCATGGATGTTCATTATGAATATACTTACTATAAAATGCAAAGAGTTCATTTTAAAAATAGTTTGAATTTTCAATTACTCAGACTGTTGTACATAAATAATTTTAGCTTTATTTCTTTCTTTTCAATTCATATTAGCTATTTCATTTTGTCTTTTGTATTAACAACGATTTCTAATATACTGTTGAATGGGAGCAGCAATGTTTAGAAGAACGTTTAAAAGGATAAACTGTTTAGTTTCCAATGTCATAGAAAAACTTCAATCTCTTACCCTTATGAATGATGTCAGGTGGCCAGCATTGTAGCATGAGAGGTTTAAACAGTCACCTGTGAAGCCAGCATTCCATATGGGCACCAATTATGTTGTGTTTGCTCCACTTCCAATCTAGCTCCAAGCTAATGCACCTGAGAAAGGAATGTAAGATGACCCTGGTCCTTAGACCACTGCACCCACATGAGAGCCCTGGGTGGAGTTCCTAGTTCCTGGCTTAGTCCCAGCTGTCGCAATGATGAACAGATGGAACACTTCTCTTTCTTTCTAAAAGATAAACAAATATTTAAAGAAACAATGAAGCCTGTCAGTTTTTGTAGACATTAAAACCTGAAGAAGTCTTCTATATTCCTTTATGGTAAAGAATTTTATTTCAGGAATGTGTTGAGCTTTTTTAAAGATGCATTTATTTGAAAGGCAGAAATCAAAATTCATAAACTCCACCCAGTTCTACAATGCGGGTGGTAGGGGCTCAAGTACTTGGGTCTTCATCCACTACATTCCAGGGCACACTAACAGAGAATTGGATCAGAAACAGAGTAGCCAGAACTTGAACTAGCACTCTCACATGGAATGCCAGCAATGTAAGTGTCAGCCTAATTCATTGTGCTGTAGTGCCCATTCTGATTGTTGAATTTTATTAAATTATTTTCTCTTTTGAAATGATCTCTATGACTTTTAACCTCCATTATGAACTGAATTGTGCCCCACCTTAAGTTTGAGCACAAACCTGCAAGATGAGTGGATTTGGACATAGAGCTTTTAATTATATAACCTTATATTAATAAGGTTGATAATATGTCATTTTCACAGGAAGAAGGGATATCAGAGAAGTGTGAGCACACAAAAAAGACCAAGTAAGAACAAATTGAGAGTAGTCACCTGTAAGGCAAGCAGGGAAAATTAAACTTGCTGATGCCTTGATCTAAAACAGGAGTGGGGAATCTTTTCTGTTAGGGGGCATTTGGATACTTATAACATCATTCATGGGCCATACAACATTATCAACTTAAAAGACTACTATGGATGTACTAAATTTTTAATCCCATCTGCAGCTGCGTTGGCAAAGCCAGACCAAATGATTTTACAGGTCTTAATGTGGCCTGGGGACTGGACATTCCCCACCTCTGATCAAGACTTCAGCCACAAGAACTCTATGAAAAAGAAGCTTCCTTTGTAGAAGCCATCCAACCCAGTCTGTGACAGTTTGTTATGGCAGGTTTAGTGAATTGATACAAATACTAAACAGAATCTTTTGAAAATCAAAAGCAATAGAAGATTTATATACTTGTAGTCTACAACATTATAGATGAACTATAGTCTAAATTAAGTGGTAAGAATGATGCTATGGTATAATGGATAAAGTACCACCTGCAGATGCTGACATCCTATATAGGTGCTAGTTCAAGTCCCAACTGCTCTATTTCCGATCCAGCTCCCTGATAATGTGCTTGACTAAAAAGCAGAGAATGGCCCAAGTGCATGGGCCCCTGCACCCATGTAGGAGACCTGGAAGAAGTTCCTGGCACCTGAACCTGTCTTCAGACCAGCCCAGGTCCAGCCATTGAGCCCACAGGAATGGGCCCACAGACGGAACATCTCCCTCTCTCACTCTTTCTTTCTCTGACTCTGCCTTTTGAATAAACAAAGTAAAAAAAAAATCCCTAATCAAACTATAATAATAATTAATTTAATTATTTAAATAATTAAATTTAAATAATAATTTAATGATTAAACTACAGTATGTGTTATATATAATATAATATAATAGGAATTCACAACATATGAAATTAGATTGGTCATTCAGTAGTATGTTACTTAACTTCATGTTGCTGTTAATTTCCTTTCTCCCTGTTGTTGATTTTGTCTAATGGATTTTCATTTAAAGAGATGTATAATAACTGTGTAACAGAGACCATCTTATCAAGATGTGAAGATACACTGTAGTATTCATCGCTACTTCCAAATCAAAGATGGACTTCCAATGAAACTGCCAAACAGATCTTGACAATGCGGAACTCTATGCCACTGTCCATACCTCCAATGTCAGGGTACACTTAAATAGGATAACGATGGACATTTGACTGCTTATGAAGGATTATATTATTGTAATAATAGAGGGGAAATTAGTGGGGGAGAGGGGAGAAGGGAAACCCCAAAGCCTATGGAACTATACCATAAAATAATGAAATAAGTAAATTTTAACAATTAAAGAAAACAGTACAATGTATTGAAGTGACGTATGTGAGAAACTAAGGAACACAAGAAATACATACATTGCTATTTTAGAGGGACTATGGTGATTGAAAAAATATAAAGAAAAATATGCAAGTAGAATAAGATGCCTAAACACATTTTAAAACTACTTTAGTGGTTATGTTGTATACCACTGTGTATGCAACGATCTCTGATATCTAATGAGCAGGTACTTAAGTCTGAGTGACTTTCAAGTCCAGATTCCCCGCTACTCAGAGCCTTGCATTAGTCAGCATGTCTACATATAAAACACTCCACAGTATTTTAAAAGCTTCTGACATGATTGGCTAGAATGTATACTGAGAAAATGCAAACCAGTAAAAACTTGATAAAGCCTCTAACTTCAAGGCCAATGGGTCTTATCAGGCTTTTAATACATACTGCTCAAATAATGAAACTGTTTGTCATCCGTAATTATTTTACCTGTAGCAGTTTGCCCCATACATGCAGGATGTCCTCTTGATTCCGTTTTCCTTAGAACCTTGTGGAACTGAATCGGGTGTGTTTGCACGTAAAAGTTCAGGACTGAGGGGATCAGAGCTAGATTCAGGATGGGGTCCTTCAGACTCATTGTCCTGGGTACTAAGGCAGCTCTCAGAACCACCTGTTGCCTGATCTTCTCTACTTGGTGTTTCTTTAGTGACAAATTTCTGTTCGGAGACCTCACCAAACTCCTCTGTTAGGATTTCATCTCTCTGTGTAGCAGTCTTCTTGTTATACATCTCTGTCCTGCTTAAACTGATTGCAGCAAGTGACTGCAGTTTTTCCTATAAGGCAAATCATAAAGATCAGAAATAAATGAGACATTTTCAAAAGAAATAAAAGGTGGGGTTGGTGGCACATTGGTGAGCATAGCTGCCTTCCAAAAGAAATAAAAACACTTAAGCATAAAAGCACCAAACAACAACATAAACATAATATGAAAGACTTTAAGATTCAGATTTTAAAGTTACTAAAAATGCTAGTATGTTCTACATCTCTAGCTTAATAACTTTCAAACAATTTGCAATCAGAAAATAAATTTACATTTGCAATAAACTTTCAAAATCATGACAAAAGTTCACTGAAATATAGTTACAGAGGTACAAGTAAAATGTGAGAAAACATTTAATTTTAGGATAATCTTCCCAAGACATTTCTTATATGTCACTGTTTTACTTTGCATCATGCTCTTCATAAGCACTATTCTTATACTTTCCATAAGTTGCTTTGATACTTTGTTTCTACCTTCTAAGTAGTGATTTTCCTGGCTGAATGATGAAATTGTTCTATGCTCACAGAAATACCTGCATGAAGTTATGACATTATTAAGTCACACACACGAAAAACTACTCTTTGAAATGATCCTAAACAAAAGCTTTACTTTAACCAACTTAAAGGTGTTTTGAACCAATTAAATATTTGCTTTATCACTGCATGGCCTGTTTAGTCCATTATAACCATCACGAAGAGTAAGCCTAGACTGGTTAGAAATGAACTTTCGATGACTTACACCTTCTGTGGAATGGAAGCACTGCTCAGGTAACTCCCTTCCTCCTGGCCATCATCTGCTATGTGATGACAACAGGGCAGTTACACACAAATGTCCACCCTCACAGCAAAGGACTCACACATGCTTGCTGCCATCTGGAACAGGCTAGTTTTCATATTACTTCATGTCTAATAGCTCAAATTTCTCAATCAGATACCATTAGAGTGGCTTGCTTAGAACTAATTACATGGCTTAATATCTTTATTTCTTCTTTTTAAAGAAACATATACTTAACTTTAAAGTTATATCCAAGCTGACTAATGATTTGCAAAAGAAAGGTAGGCCTGGTCATTGTTCTGAGGAGTAACAGAAATCTATGAGGAAAGTAGTCACTTGGTTATCTCAGAGTTGACCCCTGGCTGGCACACGTCCACATACCACATCCCTCTTTCTAAAGGAAGAACTAAAGAAAGAAAGAAATATAACTAGTGGTTAAAAAAATTACAATTGATTCTTACTCTGAAACATTACATAGACATTGAAATAGTAAGATCTACAGATGATTTGAACTAAACAACGATGAAATAGACACCCATGATGCCAGTGTTGCAAAAAAAAAAAAAAACTCGTTTTGTATCTGTATGTGCATATACTTGTATAAATTAAAATCAAAATGTTTAGAAAGATATGAACCAAAATGTTAATCAGACAGTAGGATTAAACAATGAGATAAATTTGTCTTATTCTTTCCTGGACATGCTTGTGAATATTCTTGCAAAATAAGCATGCATTATTTTGCTATATAAAGTGAAAACTGAAAGCAACAAAAATATAATAAATTAAATCTATGGCATATTTCAATTCCCTCTACTTCTATGAAATATAAACAAATATTTCCTTTACAAATGTTAACATGTTCACATGGAATATATTTAACATGTTAATTCATTCTAAAATAGAAGAGAATCCTTATCAAATATCAACACTATGAATAATGGTTCTGAAATACATTTTAAGAGGCAAAAAGCTAAATTCATAATGTTCTTTATTGAACTCCTTGAAATATTGAGATACAACAGACCTCTGGAACTCAAAACTCCAACACGCACGGTTTTAATTCTTTATAAATAACCCCAAAACCTATTAAGTGTAGTTATTTCTAAGTATGCTGAGACACAAATCTGTACTCTGCCAATTACAAAGTTCATGAACTACAACAAGTCCCTATCTGGAAACAAATGCAAAATATAATTAAAAGTGGGAGAATAGGACAAGAAAGGAGGTACTCTGTAATTGGAAGAAGCAGGAGAAATACAAAGAGCCCTATTTTCCCTAAACATCCCACATTTCTTATTTCTTAGATTATATGACACTGTAAAAGACTAAGTGTGGAGGGCTGAAGATTCATAGAGGGACCAGATGCCCTCCCGTGTAACATGCACAACAGAGACCTCAGGTGTGCTTGGAGGGGGCTAATGTGTACTAGCAGGCTATTAAAATAGGCCATTAGCTTGTACAGCAAGGCCTTTCCTCCCCTACAATCATTTCAACTTTTAATGTACTAACAAAAGACAGGATAAAGAACTTCACCCTAATACAAGCGTTGATCTGTGGTTGCTTCCCAGATGCCCTTGGCAAGAACGCCTGTGCTGCACTGGAAGTCCTGCATTAGTTCCATTAGCACTCACATGCCAATGACTTCTCTGGGCTCCCACTTCTTCCTGAACTTCAAACTCATATATTCAGCTACTAGTCAGACGTTTCCTCCTCAATATTCTGTGCACCAAAACTCCAAGCACCAAATCCTGCCTCTGTATTCTCTAGTATAAGTTTCTGTCAAGAGAATTTGCCCATTCATTTTAACGAGAAATTTGGGTTTCAGTTTCTTCCCCTAACTCTTCTCAGACCTGAGCAACAAGTCCTGGAGTTTACTTCTTTTAATCTAGCATCATCTTATCATCCTCAAAAGTCACTGCCTTCACTCAGAATTTTGTATTTCTTCACATAAAACCATAATCTTCAATTCGCAGTTTTATGTGTTGGTCTCCTCCAGAGAGTTCCCAGGATTATCTCCACAGCAAAAAATATCTCAGGTTCCTCACACTAACAAGCTGTTCCACAATGCTAGCTACACAACCAACTCATGATGTGGGCACAGTTCGCATCAAGCAATCTATAAACAGTAATTTGCAGCATCAAGGATTGTGTCCCTTTGTTTATTTTTTTGCTCTTATACCTGGTATTCCAACTACCTAAGCCTGGTAAGTTTCTCTGACTTTGGGGAGGGCCTCGTATCACAGCGTGGCAGATGGCATAACGGTGAAGACATGCAAAAAGGAGAAATCACAGAGCCATGCAGCAATCCAAAGATCTGGAAAAGGCCAGTTGCTACCTTTATAACAACCTATTCTGGCAGGATCCCATAAGAAGGGCAGCCAAAACAAAACTACAGTTCTAGCCCTAGGCCTTAACAGATCTGGCAGTTTCTACTTTGACCCTCTTGTAATCCAGCTGTCCAATAAAAATACTCAGTTTGTGTCACTTAATTTTAAGTAAAAGCCCCTAGTCATCCCACCAACTCCTTCACAGCACGATTCGTGTAAGTAAAGACATCTCTGAAGCCCCAGCCTCTGTCAAGACCCAGCTGAATGCAATTTGACAGCAAAACCATGGCATAGAACAGCAGGCTCTACTGAGTCCAGCCAACTCACGCACTTACATAATAAAATCACTGTTGTTGTTTGCCTCACGGCAATAGACATCTGATATATTCCTAATTGCATTTTGCTTAAGGTGTTTCAGTTAGACTAATTCAGTCATTTATAACAGTTTTCTAATCGATAATATAGAAGAAATACCACTGCCTTAGTTCAAGTTGTGCTGTTTTAATTTATAAGGAACAGAAAATTATTCCTTCATAGTTTTGGGGTGTGGGAAATCCGAGATCAAATTACTGGTGTGTCTTCTCACGTGGCAGAACAATGAAAGAAAGCACTCCTGTTAAAACGTTTTTGTATCAGCATCTATCCTTTCAGGAGGGTGGAGCTTTCACATCCACACACCTCCATGAGGCTCCACCTTCCAACACCTGTTGCATTGCAGTTCAAATTACAACACGGGTTTTTGGAAGGAACAAAAACATTCAAACCACAGTACTGAAATTTTGATAGGGCTTGAGTTTGTGCCCGCACTGCTTTATGTGCTAGAAGCTTGATCCAACTGTGGCCATGTTGGGAAGTGGTAGGATCATTAACAGGTGGGACCTAGTGAAAGGTGATTAGGTCATTGGGAGTGCTCCACTCAGAAAGCATAAGTGCCCTTTTATGGGATCCCGCAAGAATAGGTTGTTATAAAGGTAGCAAGTGGCCTTTTCCAGATCTTTGGATTGCTGCATTGCTCTGTGATTTCTCCTTTTTGCATGTCTTCTCACCATTATGCCATCTGCCATGCTGTGATATGAGGCCCTCCATAAAGCCAGCAGATTGCACTATAGTTTTAGACCTCTAAAACTGTGAGTTAAGTAAATCTTTTCTTTCAAAGTCCCTACTTAGCTTCAGGCATTTTCATACACAACAGAAAGTAGACTAATATAAATAACAGCTGTTTTCATTAAATTTTATAAATTAAAACACTCTCATTATTACTGCAAAATAGACTATTGAAAAACTGGAAGAAATTACCAAAGGCATACAAGAATTAATAAAAAATGTTTTACAATTGTCTTCATAAAGAGAAGTTAGGGGGCTGGCGCAATGTCTCAACTGACTATAATCTTATGCTTGCATGCACCAGGATCCTATACGGATGCTAGTTGATATGACAACCGTTCCACTTCCCATTGAGTCCTGCATATGGCCTGTGAAAACAGGAAGGGATGGCCCAGAGCCTTGAGACCTTAACCCATGCAGGAGACCTAAAAGAGACTCCTGGCTTTGGATGGGCTCAGGTCCAGCTATTGCTACCATTTGGAGAATGAACCCACAAATGGGAGATCTTTTGCTCTGTCTCTCCTTCCCTCTGTAAATCTGCCTTTCAAATAAAAATAAACAAAATTTTAAAAATATAAAAAAAGGAAGCTACAGGAGTCATGAAATGCTTAATCATAGTCAAATATCTATGGTGGGAAAATCCATTATAACCAAAATGAAAAGACATACAGAGTCTGAGGTTCAAGCTTCCATGGAACATAACCTTGGGACTCATTTTACTCTGAGGTGTTAATTGATGGCACATCACTAGTCCTCCACTTTGACGGCATATTAAAACTGCAGTTTGGGCCCGGCGCGGTAGTGCAGCGGTTAAGGTCCTCGCCTTGCATGCCCGGGATCCCATATGGGTGCCAGTTCTAACCCTTGCAGCTCCGTTTCCCATCCAGCTCCCTGCTTGTGGCCCGGGAAAGCAGTTGAGGACAGCTCAAAGCTTTGGGACCCTGCACCCGCGTGGGAGACCCTGAAGAGGCTCCTGGCTTCGGATTGGCATAGCATCGGCCGTTGCGGCTCACTTGGGGAGTGAATCATCAGATGGAAGATCTTCCTCTCTGTCTCTCCTCTCTGTATATCTGCCTTTCCAATGAAAAAAATAAAATAAATCTAAAAAAAAAAACAAAACTGCAGTTTATCTGAGATCCCAACTGATGCCTAGGCCTCACAGAGCAAATGAAGCAGAATCTCAGGAACAGGACTAGTAAGCAGTAGGTGACTTCTGTCTCTTCTCTCAACTGTCCTTGCTCTTCCCTAAGAAATACAATTGATTATTGCTAAGTAAATTAATCTAACTCTCTCCTGCAAGTCTGGGGGTGGGGAGCTACTAAGTCCTGTGTCACTGGCAAGCTCCTACCATGACACTAGAAAATTGGGCCCAGTTTCCAGTCTTTGTCTCATGTTTTCCTTCCATCTGCTCTGCACGGGTGGCTATCCCTTCAGGATTAGCTATTCACCAGTATTAAAACTGAAATTGGACCAGGTCAAAGGGTGAGTTTAGAAGATCTTACTTCAGTCTTCTGTCTCAGTCATTCTCTCTGGCCCGGCTTTACCAGAAAGTCCTGTATATGAAAACTTGAGCCTTATCTCTCTCCTGGAGAAACATCTCCAGAACATTTAAGAAAAGGAAAAGCAATGGGCCAAGGAGAGCTGAGACATTCCTGAGATGTAAGCTTTGGCATTCCCTTGATGCCATCAAAACCTCATAAATATGTTGAAGATCTTGGATATATTTACTGCTCCCCGCTACAATCTTCCTATTAAGAACATATTTCTTAAAGTCTTTCTGGTGATTTAAAATGTCATGTGCTGGAATAAACACACTGAAACAAATGTTCTGAACACAATAATTTCTCCTCTTGGAAGAAAAAAGGCCAAGTCAGTTGATATGGTCAGAATCCACACAACAGACTCATAAGAGCTCAAAGTTTATATAAAAGGAGAAGTTTAGTTTAGAGTTTTACGGCCAATACACATGAACCAGAAGACACTTGGCTTTCATTTATTCAACACAAATCCTAAAGTGACAATTAAGTCTGTATTGATTATATCCCACCACTCCAGCTGGGAGTGATGCTCCAGTGATAGGCTGGGTCCTCTCCCTGGGAAAGGAAACAGGAGTGAGAGCAGTTTATAAAAATGAACGGCCTCTAGGATGGCTACTGACATTTCCTTCATTCCCGTCCATACTGTTCTAAAACCAATCCTATTCCTTTGCTTCAACTTGCAACAAAAAGATAGGGATGGAGAGAATCAGTCACTGGTCTACAAAGATCAAGACAACTGTCTTCCCAAGCTAGTTCTCATCAGAAAGGAGGAATGTTTGAACTTTCTGTCCTGGAATCACTGCAGTCTCTCTTTTTGCAAAAGCATGCAATAAGTAGGTCTCATTTTCTTAGAGCATTCACTAACAATGCATAATTTAGTCAAATTGTTCTAGTGAGTTAGCAAAATCCAAAAGGGCAGAGATAAGATCTATAAATACAGTTAATTTTCCCAGAATTGACCCTGCAACAGAATATCAAGAACTATCCCATCATTATTTCTTTTCCTCATACTTAGCAGGAAAGATGTAGTTATAAGCAGTTTCTGAATAACCAAAAGAATAAAGGCAGCCAGGTTTTTCAGAATGGAGGGGCCAAGTTTTGACCAGAGGTAAGTAGTCCCTGTCCTTTTTTCTTGTCTGAAGAATTTGAAGTGCAATAGCTTTATATTCTACAATGAAAATACCATATTAAAGATGAGTCTTAGTAAACCAAAAATTGGACTAATTTTTGTTGTCATAAACTCAATAATAAAAAGCAATTTGTTTCTTCTTGCTGTATACAGCATATAATTAATTCCCATCTAGTCCACCTGACAAAGAAGAGAACTAAAAAATGAATATTTTTAAATTACCTTGGATGAAATGACAGCCTCTTCTTGATCAGCAGTTTTGCACTTTTTTCCTGTGTCTTGCTCTGCTAATATTGTTTCTGAATTTCCTGATGAAGTCGACCTTTTTCTTCCTTGCTGTGTTATGTTTACCTGGGTTTTATTTTCACAAATTCTATCTTTTCCATTTTCCTGAATCACACTGTTACCTTAAACACAGACACACATACACATACACAAAGAAAAATACAAAAGTTAGCTTCTGCATCTTCAAATGTCAACACTTTACCCCAAAAAAGAAAAAAAAATAATAAACAAGCAAGTATAATTAAAGTTCAACTTACAATAATTCCATCTTAGAACCACTTATTTGCAAACCTCAAAAAAATTAAGCAACGCAATGGCCAATAGTTTCAGGCCTGGAGCCTGCGAGGCTGAGACACCAATGCAGAATCTATTCCTTAATCATTGCAATTCATCTCTCTAAGCAGTATTTTCATCATACAGAAAATGTGAATTACAGTAACTCAGAGTTCACAGAAGAAGTAACTGAAGATATATGTATAAACTATCTAGCAGACTATTTGATAATGTCAGATGTGTGTTAGATCTTAGCACTGAATTTCTCCAATAGAAAATCCTTGTATCTATAGTTATCAAATGAACTTTCTGAATACTGAGGCCCTAACATTTACAGTGAGGAATTAACTTTAATTTAAAGGCAAATATAAACCCAAGATAATACAAAAGAGAAAATGTCTCCATAGATTTTGTGGATGGAGAAAAATGCTTCAATGATCATGGATATTGTGCAATACACAATAGCCAAATTCAACACAGTTTGAGACATAAACTAATATCATGTTTTATTAACAAATTCATCAATCATATAATAAGAAAAACAAAATACTTAAAAAGAAACAAGTCATGATTAATTGTCCTCCTATGTATTAGAAGGCTAGCTCTCAGAAGGTAGAGGCTGTATATGCATTATTCACTGTCGTGCCTGCAAGTACGCCCGGCATAAATCTGGCACTAGATAAATACCTCTAAGTGAATTTTGAGCATAAATGTAATTTGTCCAAATATACCATGAAGAGCCTGTACACAGGTATGTATAAGCAATCTTTGGTCACTATTCTAATCTTTTACATTAGGGGCTAGTTATGTCTATAAAAAGCAGAGAGAAAATGGCTTAAGCTCTGAGACCACACAATACCTCTAAAATGAAAGTAGATATTGGCAATAAGTGCACAGATGACCATGGTTGTAACCTAATAAAACTTTATTTACAAAAATAAGCAGTGGGCCCAACATAGTCCATGGGTTGAAATCTTCTTAGCCTTATTCTAAGATTTACTTATTTGAAAGGCAGAGAGAGGGAGAGCAATAAATCTTCAATATATTGGTTTGTTCCCAAAATGTCCACAACAGCCAGCCCTGGACCAGACAAAGGCAAGCAGCAGGAATTCCAACTTGATCTCCCATATAGATGGCAAGGGTTCAAGTACTTGGGTCAACATCTGCTGCCTTCCCAGACATATCAGCAGGGAGCTGGATTGGAAGCAGAGCAGTGAACCCAAATTGGCTCTTTGCATGGGATGCTAGCATTGCAAACGGCAGCTTAATCTACTGGATGCTGATGCCAGTCCTTTGCTTAGCCCTATTTTAAAATATATTCCAGTGGTCTGAAATAACATTCCTTCTTTAAATTCAGGAAAGCAATGGCATTGGAATACTATCCAATCAAACCAGAGTATCAAAGAAAGCAATATAAAAATAATGTAGAGGGCCTGGCGGTGTGGCCTAGCGGCTAAAGTCCCCGTCTTGCATGCCCCGGGATCCCATATTGGCGCCGGTTCTAATCCCGGCAGCTCCACTTTCCATCTGGCTCCCTGCCTGTGGGCTGGGAAAGCAGTGGAGGATGGCCCAAAGCTTTGGGACCCTGCACCCATGTGGGCGACCCGGAAGAAGGTCCTGGATCCTGGCTTCGGATTGGCATAGCATCGGCCGTTGAGCTCACTTGGGGAGTGAATCATCTGATGGAAGATCTTCCTCTCTGTCTCTCCTCCTTTCTGTATATCTGACTTTCCAATAAATAAATAAATCTTTTTAAAAATAAATAAATAAATAAAAATAAAAATAATGTAGAACAATTCTCCTTTATCCATAGTTTTGTTTTCTGTGGTTTCAGTCACCTGTGGTTTGATCACCCAAAATTAACTGTGGAAAATTCCAGAAATAAAATATTCACAAAGCTTTAAATTTCATACCATTCTGGGAGTATTACAGAATGTTCTACCTTGCCCAAGATCTAAGTTATCCCTTTGTGCAGTGTTCCCACCTAAGACCACTATCTAACCATTAGTCTTTTAGTCAATTATGAGCCATATTAACTGTAGTAAGCATCACAGTATTTGGCATTTCATAAATGCCAAGAAGATGTCCTGAAGTGCTTCCTTTAAATCAAAAGATTAAAGTATAAAAGATACTTGGAGGGAGATCACATTTGCATAACTTTCATTACAGTAAACTTACAATTATGCTATTACTATTGTTGTTATTCCTTTAAACTACCTAAATTATAAATTAAACTTTATCATAGGTATCATGTACATGAAATAATATATATGTAAGACACAGTAGTTGAGAGCATTGTGGTACATCAGTTAAGCTGCTACTTTGGATGACTGTATCCCACATTAGTATACTGGCTGTTCCTGCTGATGAACCCTGAGAAGCAGCAGCTGATGTTCCAAATGCCTGAGCCCAGCCATCCACATGCTTACCTGGCTTATCCTGTATGAATATTCTGATCTCACTATGATCCAAACTAGCACAGATTTATATTCTGCATATAATGTATTTAATTTAAAAAGCTAGATGATTTCTGCATATGAAGCATGAAGAGTACTAGCTTCCGATTAGGATAAGCACCCATTTGTTCTGTCAATTTACAGAAAGCAGTTTTACAGAAAACATTTTACAGGATAAAATGGCTAAATAGCTATGAATCCCAAATGAAGCCATTACAAAGTGAAGAAAAAATATTTTTTTAAAAACCCAACTGAAGGCACTGGAGAGAGCACAATGACAGCTAGAGAAATCTAATCTTGAAAGTTAACTACAATCTCCTGGGTTTGTGAACTTTTGCCTTTTTTCCTGAGCGATGTCCCCCTCTACCCGCCCATTCCAAGGAGTTAGGTGCAACATTACTGGCTTAAAAGGTCAGATGATAAAGTTTGAACAAGTTAGAACAGACAGAAACTTAAAGATAAAATCCCAGAACAAAGGGATCCCAGAAGGAGCAATAACCAACACCTTAAAAAATACAAAATGTCCTTCAAATGACTACTAAATTACAACGTGAATGGAGGGAAACCACAGGAAAATGAAGCACAAACTAGAAATGGAAAGAGCTGACCAGAGACCACAGCTTCTGCCCACACCAGAGGCAACTGAGATTAGAACTGATCTACGTCAAAGTCAGTGACCCATCAGAACAAATATATTTCTTCAAAAACCTCTAGAATAAATCATTCAGAACACCTGCTATCTAATAGAAAATCACTAGATAAGTGATACACAGGAAAACGTGATCCATATGAAAAAAACAAGCAGACAACAGGAACTAACCAGGAGAGGATTCAAAAATTATACCACATACATAGATTCATTGGATATATTATAAATATGACCAAGAATTTATAGGAAAATAAACATATAACCGAACAAATGGGAAATCTTATCAGAAGGTCAAAAACTATTGTAACAGAATCAAACAGAAATTCTAGGACCAAAAATATAGCTAACATGAAAAAATGTGCCAAATCGGCTTAATAACAAATTAGACATAGCAGGAAAAACAATCAGAATACTTGAAGATATATTAGTAAAAACTATACAACATGAAAAACAAAATAAAAATTAAAGAAAAATTGAAATACCCAGCAGCTTACTGGGACAGATTCAAGCAACATATCTGTAATTTGAAATCCAGAAAGAAAAGGGACAGGGAGTAAACAAGAAAAACATGGGACAAAAAATAAAAACAGCAAAAATGCCTGACATTTGTCTAATAGCAGTCGAGGAGTTAAATTCTAAGAAAAATAAATATAAATTATACCATAACTAGTCACATAATGGTCAAATAATTGAAGTCTAAAAACAAGGGAAAAGAAACTTTGCAAGAAAATTTCAGGTCCAGATAGTTTTACTGAGAAATTCTACCAAACTTCTGAAAAAGAAATACTCTTACACTCATCTGTCATAAAATCTGCTATGGAATCCATGTGTCCCCTCAATAGTCAATGTTGAAATCGTCCCTGAGCCCTGGTGTGACTGGTGTAAGGAGGCAGAACCTTTAAGAATGGTTAGGTCATGACAGTGGACATGAATATATTCATGCTTGTAAAAGTAGATGACAAGGGCCAGCGTTGTGACTTAGTGGCTAAAGCCACTCTCTGTGATACTAGTTTCCCACGGGTGCCAGTTCATGTCTCAGCTGCTCCAATTCCAATCTAGTTTCCTGATAATGGCCTGGGAAAGCAATAAAAGATATTCTAAATGCCTGGGTTCCTGCTACCCATGTGAAAGATCTGGAAAAAGCTCATGGTTCCTGACTTCAGCCTGCCACAGCCCTCGTCACTGTAGCCAGCTGGGGAGTGAGCGAGCAGATTTAAGAACTCTCCATTCCCTCCTTTCTAATTCTTTCAAATAATTATTTTTTAAAGGGATCACAGGACCAGAGCTCAGGGTCTCTGTCACATGAGATATGGAGAAGGTAACCATTTACAAGCCAGGAAAGCTTTCCTCACAGGAATGCTGCTGTGCTGCCATTCTGAACTCAAACATCTAGTCTACAAAACTGCGGGGGAAATAAATGTTTAGCCACCTAATAAATAGCATATTCTAATAGCAACATGACCTAATACAAACTTTCAGAAAATAGACTCTCTTCAGTAATAATTGCCAATACATTTTTTTCTTTTTCTTTTTTTTTTTTCCTATATGGCCAAGCCATCATAAATCTAATATCAAAATCAAACAGGAAAATTTATAAGAAAAATACAAGTCAATATCACCCAGAATATAGAAGAAAAGAACTCAAAAAATCAAACAAACCAATTTACAGCAGCATCGTAGTCAAATGAGTTTATCTAGTAACACAAAGTTGATTCAACACTCAAAATGAACTGATACAAGCCAAACAACCATATGAACAAAATAGAGAAGTAAAACCATACTATCCTCTTATTAGATGTAGGAAAGCATTTAATACTTAATATTCATCAAGGAAAAAAGCTCTAAGCAAATCAGAAATAAAAGAGGAATCTATGAAAAACCTGTAATATCAAACTTAATGGTATCAGAACTTATACATAATTTTAACAGCCACAAAATATAACATCAATATACAAAAGCCAATAATATTTCTAACTACCAGAAAACCAAAAATTTAAATTTAAAAATAAATCTACAACACAGCAATGTGACCATCTGCAACAACATGGATGGAACCAAGGAACATGGAAAGTGAAACAAGCCACTATACAATCTCACTTATAAATGGAATCTAAAACAGCTGACTTCACAGACAGACTACCAAAAACAGATGAGGAGGGTTGGAGAAAAGGAAGTCATTGATCAAAATGCACAATGTTTCCATGAGACTAGATGAGTAATTTTAGTGAGAGGTAATAACACATTGCACATTTCAAAATTGTTAGTATACATTATACATTGCTAATATTACATATTAACATTCACATCACAAAAAGTAAGTTGGAAAAGAAATTGATATGTTAACCAGCATAACTGAATCCTACAACATATACATAGGTCAAAACAATACATGATAACCAATAACTATGCATAATTGTTTAAACTAAAAATAAATTTAAACAAAATATTAGTAACATCATATTGCAGAAGTGACAAGACAGTAAACTACTGATCTGTATTTGACTAAAGTTTGCAATTTGATAAGTCTTATCTTCCTGATAACCCCTCCTTCAAACACAGGAACCTCTCTAAAATGAAGACCTGAGAATGCTGACCTATGAATGTTTAAGGATGGTACCAAACCAAAGCCAGGTGTGCACAGAGAGCAGACACCAAGAGCTCTGGAGCATATAGGGGAAAGCAAAGGAAAAGAGGTCAGGTATCCAGAACAGGAAAGAAGCAACCTGGATTTACAGATCCTCCTTGGCAAACCTCACAAATTCCCCTTCCCTTAAATTATGTTGCTTAAATAAGATAATTTTTAAAACCTTGAAGCAACAGAAAGACCCAGGAAGAAAGGTATAAATCACTGTGATATAGACCAAAACAGTGCGTGCCAATACAAGATCACATCGTTGAATCGTCCAGCCATTATAGTATCAAATGTCTGGACTTGTTTTTAATTACACTGATTTTAAACACTCCAACTGTGCCAGCTTTTTATCTTAGACTTAACACCAATAGATTCATTTGAAAATCTGTATTTGTATGCTAAGGCTAGGACTTCAGGCAGTAGCACTTGTCAAACGAAAGGAAGTAATTAGCTTGATGCTTCTTGACAAGTAGTAGAAAATAACTTGGATTTTAAATTAGATTTCACGTACATATCAAAAAAAATTTTTAGGATAAGCTAGACACAATCACCACCGAATGAGCATTCATTCTGAAACAACTTTGAAATTCTGCTTAATGTTTCCCTGCAAGTCAGCCTTGGCAGGCACAAACCTACCTTCACTGATAACAGATACTGAAGAGTTTTCATCACTTAAATGATCTGCTAACATCCAAGCCGGGAGGATTCTTTTCCTCTGGGCAGGGTTTAGCTGCCGATCACCGAAGTCTCCACAATCAGCTGCAAAAGACTAAAAAGGCACCTACAAGTCACTTCCTAAGGTGATTTCTCCTGGAAATCACTTGAAAAACATGTTACGAATAGAGGAGATCTTAGATTTCTCACCACACTTGCTGTAGCAGTGGTCTGAGCCCTGGACATTTCTGTGTTTCTTTCTAGCTGTGAGGCACCCGGTGTCTTATCAGGTGAATTAACCACAGGAGATTCTGGTGTTTCCTGTGGTATATCATCTTCATCAAGCATTTGGCTGTTTCTATAAGATAGAAATTTGTTTTTGAATCACTTAAATTTCACAACTGCAACATGGTTGGCCAGCATTTCTTTGAAAAGCAAATCTCGTGTCCAGCTTCCTTCAGTCCTGTTCCCTCCCTTGTATTCCTTCCCTAAACACCAGCCTGAATCAAATGACTATTACATTAACACACATTTTATATTTTTGCACATATGTATTCCCCTATAGTCTCACAGAAACAGTACAGGTTTTATACATTTCTAATGTTTGTGCTTTCTCAACATAGTATGATTTATCCAATTTTAACCTGCAGCTATCTTGAGTTCATTTTCTTGAACACATTACAGAAATATACCAAATCTAGTGAGCCATTTTCAAGATTTTTTTTAAAAGATTTACTTATGTTTATTAGCAACTTAGGTTTACAGAGATGAGGAGACAGAGAAAAATCTTCCATCTGCTGATTCACTCCTCAAGTGGTAGCAACAGCTGGAGGTGAGCCAATCCAAGGCCAAGAACCAGGAGCTTCTTCTAGGACTCCCATGTGGGTGCAGGGTCACAAGGCTTTGGGCTATCTTCTACTGCTTTCCCAGGCCACAAGCAGGGAGCTGGATGGGAAGTGGAGCAGCTGGGACACAAACCGGTGACCATATAGGATCCTGGCACATGCAAGGCAAGGACTTTAGCCACTGAGCCATTGCACTGGACCCATTTTTCAAGTGTTTTAATAACTAAAATGCATACTCTAGCAAATGCTCTCATCCATCAGGGGTCAGTTGGTAAAAGCATCAGATGTAGAAAAAACTGATTTCGATTTGGAGCCTACCTCTGTCATATTTGCTATATGACCTTGACAAACCTCAAAACCTTCTGCATCTTAAATTTCTTCATCTTTAACACAAGGATTTTTTTTTATTGGGAAGACAAATTTACAGAGGGAAAAACCTTCCTCTTGCTGGTTCACTCCCCCAGGGGCCACAACCGCCGGAGTTGAGCCAATCTCAAGCCAGGAGCCAGGAGCATCTGCCAAGTTTCCCATGCAAGCACAGGGTCCCAAGGCTTTGAGCTATCCTCTACTGCTTTCTCAGGCTACAAACAGGGAGCTGGATGAGGAGTGGAGCAGCCTGGACAGGAACTGGGATCCAAATGGGATCCTGGTGGCTGCAAGGTAAGGATTTAACCACTAGGCTATTGCACCAGGCCCTAACACAAGGATATTTTTTATATATTTTTGGAAAGGCAGATACACAGAGAGGAGAGACAGGGAGAAGATCTTCTGTCCAAAGGTTCACTCCCCAAGTGGTCACAATGGCTGGAGCTGAGCCAATCCAAAGCCAGGAGCCTCCTCTGGGTCTCCCATGCAGGTGCAGGGTCCCAAAGTCTTGGGCCGTCCTCGACTGCTTTCCCAGGCCACAGGTAGGAAGCTGGATGGGAAGTGGAGCTGCCGGGATTAGAACTGGTGCCCATATGGGATCCCGGAGCATTCAAGGTGAGGACTTCAACCGCTACTCTATCGCGCCGGGCCCTAACACAAGGACATTAACAACTCTTACAGACTGCCACGAGGACTAAAATGTCTTAAGAGGCCAGCATTGTGGCACAGTGGGCACTGCCACCTATGAATCCAGCAACCCAGATAAGCTCTAGTCTGAGTCTCAGCTGCTCTGCTTCAAATCCGATGCCTGGATAATGCTCCTGGAAAGCAGAAGAGGGTCCTGGCCACCCAGATGGGATGAAGCTCCTGGTTCATTTACATCAGCCTTTGCACAGCCAGCCGTTGTGGCTATTTGGGGAGTGAACCAGGGAATGGAAGAAAATCTCTGGCTCCTCCCTTGAGCTTTCAAGTCAATTTTTTTTTTAAGTTTCTACATAATGGCATAGGTGATTATCCTAGTGCATAAGATGCTGAACAAGATAGCTATTTGCTATGTTCGGCTCTTATGCAATAATTCAATAAATCAATCAGATTCCCTGGACAAGGCCTACCCACTAATATTATATAAGATGCTTTTTACATAATGCTGGATTTGATTTGTAAGTGTTTTGCTATGATAAATATTTATCTCCAGTGTATTATTTTTTTCTTATATAGTCTCAGCAGATTTTGTTATTGTGATTGTGGAAGCTAATAAAATGAGTTGGGAAGTATATCATTTTCTATTTTGTTAAGGAAAACATAATATTGACATTGCTTATTCCTTGACAGTTTAACAGAATTCACTAGTGCACTTTCTTGGAGAAAAATTCATAAATTATATATTAAAGCTTTAAAATATTTCAGAGGGAGAAAGGGAAAGTGCCCCATCCCTTGGTTTACCCCTACAAATGCTTACAGTGCTTCTGCGTGGAGCTAAAGCCAGGAACCGAGTGTGAGTCATCAATCACCAGAGCCCTCAGCACCTCCCAGACCTGCATTGTCAGGAAGCTGGAATCAGGAGCCACGGCAGGGATTGAATCCAGGCATTCCAACGTGGGAATGAATGCATCTCAACTGGTGTGATAACTACAGGACAAATACCCACGTCTCCAATTTTTTTTAAAGATTTATTTATTTTTATTGCCAAGTCAGATATACAGAGAGGAGGAGAGACAGAGAGGAAGATCTTCCTTCTGCTGATTCACTCCCCAACTGGCCACAATGGCCAGTACTGTGCCAGTTTGAAGCCAGGAGCCAGAAGCTTCTTCCAGATCTCCCCAGTGGGTACAGGGTCCCAAGGCTTTGGGCCATCCTCAACTGCTTTCCCAGCCCAGGGAGCTGGATGGAGAGTGGGGCTGCTGGGATTAGAACCGGCACCCAATTGGGATCTCAGCGTGTTCAAGGTAAGGACTTTAGCTGCTTGGCCACTGTGCTGGGCCCGACCTCTCAAGGTTTTAAACAGATGTAGGATTTCTCATATTTCTGATTCATCTCTAAATTTCATTATTTGAGAGGCAGATGCAGAGACAGACAGCCTTTCTACCTGCTGGTTCACTCACCAAATGTCCACAAGGCTGAGACATGGTCAGTCCAATCCTAAGAGCCTAGAACTCAAACCAGCTGTTTAACCTGAGTGTGAGGGACTCGGGTTCTTAAGCTGTCATCTCTGCCTCCCAGGGTGTGCTTTCACAGGAAGTTAGAATGGGAAGCAGTCCAGACTTGAACCTGAACTCAAATCCAGGCACTCACAAAGGCATCCTACATACCATCTTATCTGCACTGATCTATCTCTTCCTATCTTTGCTTCAGAAAATGTACCTACTCAGAGGTGGGGAACATGCGGCTGCGGGCTGTGATAAGCCCATAAAATCATCTGATCTGGCCCTGCCAAGGCAACCACAGGCAAGATTTGAAATTCAATAAATCTGTAGTGCATTAATTTTAAGGTGGTAACTTGGTATGGCTCCCAAATATTATAAATATCCAAATGGCCCTTGGCAGACAAAAGGCTTCCCATTCTTGAACTGTCAAATTCATGATAGAAAGTGTTCAGTAATACTTTTCTATCATTCCTTTAAGGTCTATAGTATTAGTAATGATAGCCTTCCCTTCTATTTTGGACATTCAGATTTTTGTTTTTATTTTATTTATTTATTTTTTTTTTTTTTTTTTGCCTAAGTACCTTAGTAAGATTTTGCCAGTTTTACTGTCTTTTTGAAGAACTCAAATTATGCCTTTCTGATGCTTTCTTTCTCTGTTTTCTATTTGTTTTTCTTTTTAAAGATTTATTATATTTTTATTGAGTCAGATATAGAGAGGAGGAAAGAGAGAAAGATCTTTCATCCAATGATTCACTCCCCAAGCAGCTGCAATGGCTGGAGCTGCACCAATGCGAAGCCAGGAGCCAGAAGCCTCTTCTGGGCCTCCCCCATGGGTGCAGGGTCTCAAGGCTTTGGGCTGTCCTCAACTGCTTTCCCAAGCCACAAGCAAGGAGTTCGATGGGAAATACGACACAGGGATTAGAACCGGTGCCCATATGGGATCCCAGTGCATTCAGGCTGAGAACTTTAGCCAATAGGCTACTGCACCAGGTGCTCTATTTTTTTTTTTTCTATTTCTTTTCAGATTAACTTACCCATGTGCTTTCTTACAAATATACTGTTTAATTTCAAAATACTTTAAGATGTTTACAGATACTGTTTTGTCCATCTGCTGTTACAGGCCCAGTTTAACATATTCTAGCAGTTAGACGCTGTCACAATGCCATGTAATCTTTCAATGCCTGTTTCAAAAAAGTAATGTATGAATTTAAACTTTATAACAAATAAGGTTTATCCTAGTTCCTTAGTTTCTCTATTCTACATTTACTGTTACTTCATACAATAAAGAAGAGTTAGATCTAGCCTAAGTCAGGGGTTAATAATTTTATAAAACTTACAAAGAAGAAAGCACACTCAACTTTAAATGAAGTATCTTCATTTCTATTAGAAGAAAATGCATGGGCCCGGCGCATTAGCTTAGCAGCAAAAGTCCTTGCCTTATGCACACAAGAATCCCATATGGGCGCCAGTTCTAAACCCGGTGGCCCCACTTCCCATTCATCCTTGTTACCCTGCACCTGCGTGGGAGAACTGGAAGAGGCTCGGTCGGCTCAGCTCTGGCCATTGTTGCCACCTGAGGAGTGAATCAGCACATGGAAGTTCTTCCTCTCTGTCTGTAATTCTCTCTGTATATCTGACTTTCCAATAAAAATAAATCTTTTTAAAAAGAAGGAAAATACATTCAGGATACAACATAAAAGATACTAACTATGAAGCGGCAATCACTACTGAGACACAGTAAATTTCTAAAGTCAACTGCCCTCTAGAAACCCATATTTGCACAAACACACAAATTGCAGAGCTACCATATGTCCAATACAATTTAGTTCTAGCAATGATTTCTACTGAAACATTTGTGATAAGTGAGCAATTAGATTACCCGTATCATTACTCTCATTTCATCAGGCAATCTTACCTCAAAGTACATTCCAATTCTGTTTCAGACTTTGTAGAAAAAACACGGAAAACATACTTGTCAACCAAAAGAGAAAAAGTATCCCCAGGATTCAACCAGTGCCACAGATTGTTCTTCATAGGTAAGAGCTCACTTCTTTTAGAAGACTGATAAAAACAGGGGTTTGTGTGTATCTAAAAAGAAGAAAGAAACAGTGATGGTATAATTGCAAATTACGACAAGAATACAACTAAATGAGGACTAGTTCAGAACTTTGGTATCAAAACAATCTATAGCTATATACACTAAAAATTTTAATAAATCTGGCACCCATATGTACCACAATCATTATTTAAATACAAAATAAGAAAATTCCTCCTTATAATTCCCCATGAGTCAAGAACAAAGTTATCAACCAACTGGTTAAAAGATTTCCTCTGTCTTGCTTAAGAATGAGGACAACATTAGAAAGAGGAACATGAAAGATAATTTTCAATGTGGAAAACAAAGACCCCCAACATTTATATCCAAAATGCACACATCTTCCAAAAAAAGACTAGCTAGCTTCCATCACTCATTTTATCCTAATAATTTCTTAACACAATTAAAAAATTAGAAAGCAAAGAGAACTATTTGACCTAGAAGATAGAACATGCAAATCCTTTGTCAAAGCTCTGGGTTCAATATATGTGTCAGGATTCTAACTCCAGCTTCTTGTTAACAGAGTTTCTGGGAGGTAGGGTAATGGTTCATATGCTTCACTGCCACTCAGGTGAGGGACGTGGATTAAGTTCTTGCTTCCTGGAATTTTCTTATTTGAATGAAACTTCTATCACATACATCATCATCCATATTAAAGTCAAAAAACCTTAAAATATCCACTATTCTGAATTGTTTGCTACTGACCAATTGACCATCTTCCTGTTATCAGAGATAATACAGTTCCTAACAGGTGGAGGCAGACCTGTTACACTGCACTTTAAAACTTTCATTTCACAAACAAGTTTGGGGCATGCCAGGGCATAATAAGCTGATCCTCCACCTGCAGTATCAGCATCCCATATGGACACTGGTTCACGTCCTGACTGCTTCACTTCTGATCCAGCTCTCTGCTTATGGCCTGGGAAAGCAGAGAAGGATTGCACAAGTCCTTGGGTCCCTATTGCATCTATTTGGGAGACCTATAAGAAACTCTTGGCTCTTGGCTTAGGATTGGCTCAGCTCTAGCCATTGCAGCCATTTGGGAAGTGAAGCCGTGGATGGAAGATCTCTCTGTGTGTCTCTCCTTCTCTCTGTGATTCTGCCATTCAAATAAAAATAAACAGATCTTCAAAAGAGAGAGAGAGCAAATTCAGAAGCAAGTACTGTGACATGGTGTTTAAAACTACTGCCTGTAGTGCCTACCTGTTTGAGTCTCAACTGCCTGATTTCCTACCCAGCTTCCTGCTAAGAATGTGGAAGTTCCAAATCCTTGGGCCCCTGTACTGAGACAGGAGATCAAGAAGAAGCTCCTGGCTCCTGACCTCTCTTACTGGCATTTGGAGGAGTGTATCAATGAATGGAAGATCTCTCTCATCTGTCTCTCCTTCTCTCTTGGCAATTCTGCCTTTCAAATAAATAATCTTTTTTAAAAGGTTCAAGTTGGGTATTTTTGAGGGTCAAGCATTCTTTTGTCATTATGGCTTTTCAAAATAAGTAACTGCTAATGTATAACAAAACTATACTAAAGCACACCTCTGATTTTTCAAGTATAGAGTAACTTCCTTTTCTGCCCTTCTTCTATTGCCTCAGTTTAAATGAAACTTTCTAAAGACATCAGCACTCTCCAGTATAGCAGAGTAATTATCAAGCTGGGATTAGACATACACCATTCTAAGAAGAAAAAAAAAATTATCCTTAATTCCATAATGAATAACTAATTTAACTTCTTGAGGACAAGGGTGTAGGTCTTAATCTGCTATTCCAGACACTATCCTTTGCATTTAATTCTAAAAGCAGACAGAGGAGACAAAATATTGTCAATCCCAAAATCAAAGTGAATAGAAGACAGAAGTTACTTAATGGAGAGACTTGGTGTTGGTATATGCCTTTTAACCTATCAATGAGAGTGTAAATGCAAATGTTAAGTAGATTATTCTACAACTTAAGATCCACTATAATGGATACTTCATGAAATTGAACTAAAACACAATTTTCTGTAGCTTTCTCTTGGACTTATCACTAAATATGACAGATTGATGTATACTCCCCAAGAGGGGAGTTTTTCCATTTTCTTTTTATATGGAAAGCATTCAAATGAGTTGAGAATAGGCTGTTATAATGTTTACAGATATTTTACAAGTACACTTATAATTTCATGGGACAGAAAAACAACCCCAACTCAGGAATTTTGTGAAAAAAAAAAAAGCACAATTGCCTAAAGACTTATTTTGAGGCTCACTACCAAAATGGTTTATATATAGTTCATCCAAATCCAAATGAATGACATTTTATTATAATGAAATGAATTACTGACAGTCATGAATCCACCTTGAGGACCGAAGTTACAACTGGTGATACAGTAATGTACAGAAAATATTATCATTTTGTCTTTATAAAGTATTTTCTCCCTGCTGATCTCAAACTGTAGATTAAATTTAAATGACACATTTTTTAAAAAGTTAGGAACATCATCTCCTTATGAACCAACATTATCTCTTTACATAATATTTCCAAGAACCACTAGAAAGCTAGAATATATACTTTTAAGATTTTATTAGAAAATCAGATGCACAGACAGGAGAGACAGATAGGAAGATCTTCCATCAATTGACTCACTGTCCAAGTAATCACAATGGCTGTAGCTGTGCCTATCCAAAGCCAGGAACCTGGAGCCCCCTTGGAGTCTCCCGTGCAGGTGCAGGGTCCCAAGGCTTTTGGGTCATCCTCGACTGCTTTTCCAGGCCACAAGCAGGGAGCTAGGTGGGAAGCAGGCCTGCCGGGATTAGAACTGGTGCCCATATGGGACCTGGCATCTGCAAGGTGAGAATTTTAGCCACTAGGCTACCACACCGGGTCCTAGAATATTTTTTAAAGTATAAAAAGAGAAAAATTCATCCAAGATACAAATAGCCATTGCCCTATACTCAGCTATCATTGTCAAAATGAAATCTATTTTTTTTACTTGGTGGTAGGGTTAGATTTACAAGTTAAAGAAAGGCAAAACAAAACTTAAATATGTAAATATAAACATGTAAATATACATCAAGGTATAGAGCACAAAAAAGGGATCATGAATATAAAACACTTGCTACATTAATTCACATAATTTTAGAATTTTTTAACTAAAATTCTCGCAACATTTTATTACAGCTATATGTATGTAAGTTGCTTAAGTAAATGAAAGATTTATGACTAATTAGGGAACAAAAAAAATTTTTTTAATATTTATTTACTTATTTGAAAGGCAGAGTTTATAAAGAAAGGAGAAGGGACAGAGAGAGAAATCTTCCATCCAATGATTCACTTTCCAAATGACCCACAACGGCCAGAGCTGGGCTCTCTGGGTCTCTCACAGGGTTGCAGGGGACCAAGACTTGGGTGATTTTCCACTGCTTTCCTAGCAGGGAGCCAAATCAGAACTCAAAACAGTGCCCACCTAGGCTGTTAGCATCTCAGGCAATGGCATTATCCACTACACCACAATGCTGGTCCCACAGAAAAAAATTACACTTAACATACATTAAAATAAAATGAACTTGAGGTCAGCATTGTGACATAACACATCAGCCATTACCTGCAACACCAGCATTCCATACTGCTGCCACTTTGTGTCATGGATGTCCTCTTTTCAATCTAGCTCCTTGCTAATATACATGGGAAACCAGCAGAAGATAGTCCTCACATCCCATATGGGAGACTCAGAAGAAGCTCCTGGCTTTGGCCTGGCCATAGTTTCCTAGTTGTCATGGTGATCTGGGAAGTGAACCAGTGTACGTTGTGTGTGTGTGTGTGTGTGTGTGTGTGTGTGTGTGTGTGTGTGTGTGTAACTTCGTGTTCTAATCAATAAATTTTTAAAAATACTTATTTCTTTTTAATTGAGAGCCACTAATGTGTAAATCTCCATCCTAGTCTCCCTCATGATTAAAGGGCTGCAAGTATTTGGGCCACTATCTTCCACTTTCCAAGGCCCATTAACAGGAACTTCAGTATGGGATGCTGGTTTTATAAAAAGCAGTTTATACCTGCTGCACATTGCAAGCCCCCATGAAGGTCCTTGTATACATCTCGTGATGCAGGATGAAGTCTAGCCTGAAGAAAACACATATCTTCATCCTTCTAATTTTCTTTTTCCTTTCCTTTCCTTTTTTTTAGATGTATTTTATTTATCTGAAAGCAGAGTGATGGAGAGGGAAAGACAGAGCTCTTCTATCTACTTTTCATTCCTCATAATGCTGCAATTTGCTAGTGACCAGGCCAGGCCAGAGTCAGGAACCTAGAACTTTAATTGGTCTCCCACATGGAGTAGCAGGAGCCAAAGAACTTGAGCCATTATCTATTGCTCTTCCAGGTGCATTAGAAAGGAGCTTTGCAGCTGACATTTCAACCAGCTCTCCAATTGCCAGCACTGCAGGTGGAAGTTTAACCTGTGGCGTCATACTGCCACCCTCACACATATTAACCTTTAAAAAATAACTTCAAAATGCTTTCCAAAGTTGCTGTGCCATCTAAGCTTCCACCCACAATTTATAACTATCTCACCCATTGTACAGCCTCAATGTAACTTGAAATTGCTTAGCTTTTACATTTCTGACAATCTGTTGGATGTGTAATGTTATCTCACTGGAGTTTCATGTGCATTTCTCTGCTTAATAAGGTTGAGCATCTTTTCATGGTTACCAATCAATCAGGTTTCTACCTCTGAAATGCAACTCAAGTCTTTAGTCCATTTTTCTAACATTATTTCTCTTTTTATTAATTGAATGCACATTTATGTTGTGCATATCATTAATTTTACAACTACATTTTTAACTTAAACTTTTTAATTTTTTAATTTTCAAAATTTCCTGGGCTGAGTAGGATGGCTCAGAGGCTAGATCCTCACCTTTCACGTGCCGGGATCACATACGGTGCCGGTTTATGTCCCGCCTGCTCCACTTCCCATCCAGTTCCCTGCTTATGGCTTGGGAGAGCAATAAAGGATGGCCCAAAGCCTTGGGGCCTTGCACCCATGTGGGAGACTTTGCAGGGGTTTCTGTCTCCTGGCTTTGGATCAGCTCAGTTCTGGCCGTTGCTGCCATTGGGGAGTGAACCAGCACACAGATCTTTCTCTGTGTCTCATCCCTGCAAATTTGCCTTTTCAATAAAAATGGATGAATCTGGGCCTGGCATGGTAGCCTAGCAGCTAAAATCCTTGCCTTACAGGTGCCAGGATCCCAATTCAGCACCAGTTTGTGTCCCAGCGGCCCCACTTCCCATCCAGCTGCCTGCTTGTGGCCTGGAAAAGCAGTCAAGGATGGCCCAAAGTCTTGGGACCCTGCACCCACGTGAGAGACCCTGAAGAGGCTCCTGCCTCCCAGCTTTGGATCAGCTCAGCTCTGACCATTGTGGCCACTTAGAGAGTGAATCAGCAGATAGAAGATCTTCCTCTCTGTCTCTCCTCCTCTCTGTATATCTGACTTAACAATAAAAATAAATAAATCTTAAATTAAAAAAAATGAAGTTTTAAAAATCTTTTTTATTAGTATATTTTGTAAGCAAACATTCTTACTGTAATTCGATTTTTATAGTTTTTCTTCTATAGCTTCTGCTTTTGATATCTTGTTTAAAATTCCATCCCTATTCTCAAGTCATAAAATACAGGGTTTCTTCCTATATTATCTTTTAGAAGTTTTGTAGTTTGTACTTTCACAACTACTTGACTGAACTTGACTGTTGGGTATGAACAGGCTAATGATGTATTTTGTTTTTGTTTTTGCTATCTTTTCCCAAATTGTCCCAGTACTATTTCTTAATAAAAAGTTATTGTCTAGTGACAAGCAATTCTAGCTCTGATTCAAATTTCTAGGCATAAATCTGAATCTAAGATTGCTTTCAGTTCTAAAATTTTACTCAACTGAAGACACTGAAAATTCTTGCTAAAATAAATGATCAGTTAAACTTTAAGAAAACATTTTTAACAAAGAAAATACCTAGTGGAAAAGAATCCTAACATGGAAAACATAATACACAATAACAAAAAAAAAATAGTGCACAGGATTCAAAGAACCTAGGTTCTAAATCCATTCTACAACTTACTGAGTCTGGAAGATTAGATTTTCTTCAGATGGCCTTAATAGTCTATGTGGTTGTGGCATAGTGAGTGAAGCTACCACTTGTGACACCACCATCCCATATAAGAGTACTCGTTGTTCCCTTTCCAGTCTACCTCCCTGCTAATTCTCCTGGAAAAGCAGCAAAAAATGGTCTAAGTGCTTAGGTCCCTGCACCCACATGGGAGACAGGGAGTTCCTGGCTCCCGGATTCTGCCCCTCTCAGCCCCAGGCACTGCAGCTAGTTAGGGAATAAACAAGTGGATAGGAGATTTCTCTCTCTGTTTTTCCCTTTTTTTTTTTTTTTTGGAAAGAATAAGACTTTTTTAAGTACTAAGAAAAGCATAAAAACACCTTAAAAAATACTTTATATCTACAATGTTACATGAAAATTTGTTCTAGTTTCTGAAGTATATCTTCTGCAGTTTGGTGCTAAATATTTGTAAATGTCATCAACAGTTGTTTCATAATCTGAGCATAATCTAATTAAACACCCAGTAAAGGTAAATGAAGAATGTTTTCAAAGAGGAGCTTCACAGGGGCTTATGCTATGGCCTGCCCCTAGACCCTCTGCTTCTGATCCAGCTTTCTGCTAAAAGTGCCTGGGAAAGCAGCTTTAGCTCCCCCCCAAGTACCTGAGTGTCCAACACCCTATAGGAGACCAGGATAGAGTTCCTGGCTCCTGGCTTTGTCTTGGCCCAGTCTGGCCCCAGTCACGGCAAAATTTAAGGAGTGAACCAGAGGATAGAAGATTCTCTCTTTTTCTTTTTCCTTCCTCTCCTCTTTTCCTCCCTCCCCACTTCTATTCTTCTTTCCTCACTCTGCTTTTCAAATAAATAGAATCTTTAAAAAGAAAAATAGGAGCCACCTTCTTTAACTGAACATTGCTAAAATCCCACATAGACATTAAATCCATTAGATACTAGATAAAGTTACTTAGGTATACTTACCTTATATTGTAAGTACTCATTTGATTGGCTACAAAAATGTAAAATATATCTAAACACTTTTTATCAAAATATAGACACAACTCCAAGTAAGCACCTTTATTAAGCCAGTTTGGAAAACATACTAGTTGTCAAAATAGAAATGTCCTCAACTAACACTGAGGAAAAAATAAATAAATCAGGTTAAAACATTTGGGCATTAGTAAACAAAATGATTTCTTAACAATTTATTATTTTATACACACACACATATACATATATACAGAGAAAGAGAAAGAGAGAGAAAGAGACAGAGAGAGAGAGAGAGAGAGAGAGAGAGAGAGAGGAGGAGGAAAGAGAGGAAGATCTTCCATCCCACGATTCACTCCCCAAGTGACCACAATGGCCGATGCTGTGCCGATCCAAAGCCAGGAGCCAGAAGCCTCTTCCAGGTCTCCCAAGTGGGTATAGAGTCCCAAGGCTTTGGGCCGTCCTCAACTGCTTTCCCAGGCCACAAGCAGGGAACTGGATGGGAAGCAGGGCTGCCCGAATTAGAACCAGCACCCACATGGGATCCCAGCGCATTCAAAGCAAGGACCCATTTTTTATATCTAAAAATTTGATGCCTCATAAATTTTGTTATAACTAAATAGTATAAGCAAATCAGATTTTTATTCAATTGTACACAATTCAGTTGATTAACTTGCTCACAAATAAATGTAGTGAGTTCTTAATGATACTTATTTCATTATTTATAACTACTGTTACCAAAAAATTTTATATATCAATTGGAACAAAAATAAAGCTACAAAAACAACAGGAGTTACAGATGCTAATCAACAATTTGTCTCTAAGAAAGGATTAAAAGTACTTTTAGTTTATTGATGTGTTTTCTGCTACATCTGCATTCAGCTATCAGTAGGATTTGAATATTAATAATACAATTCCAGAAGAGTCTATTAACCAACCTGCAGGAGCTAATATTGTATGCTTTCGTATTAACAAAAGTCAACTAGAAATACAATTATCTAAAACGATTCAAATGATCTACATATCAAAATAGTAAATATTCATTGCAAGCGCTTCCTCTCATGAGCATGAACAATAGGGGAGTGTTATGGATAACTGTCTCTGAAAACTCATGCAGCGACTTAAACTCTAATACCTTCCTGTTTAAAGGTGGAAACTAGATCTTATGATGGCATCTGAGGGTCGGGCCTGTGGGAAGACTTCAAGTCTTTGGAGGAGCATGCCCTGGAAGGGTGATTCACCCAAAAGGTTTCGAGTACTTGAATTCAAGTTCGGTTTTCTTTCCCTTTTGTGGCTCACCTTGTGAACATTATCACCACGCTCACCATGACCAGCCTCCTCCAGCAGCCAGTGCATGGCCTCATGATCCTGGAACCTCAAACCGTAAGCTGAAACAAACCTATCCTTTTTCAAAGAAGTTCTTCTTAGTTATTTTAGATAGAGTAACAACAATGGACAAGAACAGGGGAGTGAGTCTTTCACTTAAGGAACCAAATGCATGTTTGCTATTGAGGAAAAAGTAAAGGCAAACCAATAATATGTTCTATCAGAAAGGGAGGGCAGGAATTTAAAGATCCATATGTTCTTCCCCTTAACATGTTCCAGTTACAACAACAAACTTTTTTTTTCATTTTGGAACATCAGGATTCATTAAAAAGTGACAGAAACTAGCTACTGGAAAAGTAACATACATTCATAAAAATCCATATGGCTCTCCCCACTAGAGATGCTACATAAAACTTTCACCACAGTGTTTGCTCATGAATTCAATAAATATTTAGTGAAGCATCTACTCTGTGGCAGGTTAAGTCCTGCTGATGCAAAAACTGGTCAGAGTTCCTATAGTTGAGAAACTTATAATCCAAAAAGTCCTATCTAAGATGGCTAAGAGAGTTAGGAAAGATCCAGAGATTAACAACTGGTGGTGAAAAAAATAGTGCCCAGGGAGTGCTGACTGCAGGTATTAACACTCTTTTAAGACAAAGCAGACTGAAACTGAGACATAATTCTTTTAAAAAGTTAATTCAGGGAATTAGTGTTTATTCTAGCAGTTAGGATTCCTGCACTTCAAGTTACTACAGTGGACGGAGGGCAGGGTAGGGGGTGACAGTCAGGTAACTGGGATCATGTCACCCACGTGGAAGACTTGAATTGAGTTCCTACCTCTTGGCTCCAACACTAATCCTGCCCTAATCAATGCAAGTATTTGGGGAGCAAACCAGCAGATGGAAATTCATTCTCTCTCTTTCCAAATTTAAAGCAATAAAAATACAATTGTAAAAATTGTTTTTTCAATGTTAAGATAGTTGACTTCAGCTTCATTCAAAAATAAGAAGCCATATTCTGATAGTAATTCTCTATTTTTAAGCTATATGAGAAAATAAATGCCTCATCAGTAACTGAAAAGGAAAACAACAGAAAGCTAAAATAAATCATTAACACATACTTACCGGCTTGATTCGAAGCTGACCACCTACCACTTCAACAATGGCATGTCTTCTGGAGACTCTCTTATCTGTTATCTACAGAGAAAAAAATAAAATTTCAAACACAGCCACCACTTTAAAAACAAAGTAACTAAGCAAACAAATGCCTTAGCAACAATTCTGAAACCATTGAGCTACACATGACACAAATCATTCAATAAAAACTAAATAGTGAAATGACTGTCCTTGTTTAGGATAATTAAATAAGTCAGGGAGTAAGACACCTGCCCACTGTCATGAAAGAAGAAATGACAAGGACAACTGAGATGGATGGAAGTTTAGGACCTAACAGATCCCAAATCTTACAGAATGGTTTTCATTCAGGACATACTTATAGTGGGGACTCTTACCAGTGAAATTCACAAAGTGGGAGCCAGAGGTGTACCTAAAAAATATGTACCTTTTAAGAAAGACTTCAAATATAGGAAATATATAGTATGCTACAAAACCAGAGGTTCTAAAATCAGAAAGTCTAGGGCAACCATAAGCCAACAAACCAGAAGACCTAGAAGAAATGGATAGAATTCTCAATACATACAATTTACCAAAACTGAATCATGAGGTAATTAAAAACCCAAACAGAGAGGGGGGAACCTAAATAAACCTATAACAAGGACTGAGACTGAATCAGTAATTAAATTGTTCCCAATAAAGAAAAGTCCTAGAGTTTTCTTTACTACTTTTTACTACTGAATTCTAACAAATTTTTCAAGAAAAAACTTATTCCAACCCTCCACAAAACTACTCAAAATAATAAAATAAGAGGCAATCCTTCCAGACATTTTCTATGAAGCCAACATCAGCTTAATGCCAAAACCAGATGGAGACACAACAGAGAAAGAGAACTATAGACCATATCCCTGATGAACATAGATGCCAAATTCTCAATAAAATACTAGCCAACAGAATCCAACAGATATCTCCCCTGGACAAGGTAGAGTTTATCCCTGGTATACAGGGATTGTTTAAAATTCACAGTTCAATAAATCTGATATGTCACATCAACAAAATGAAGGATAAAAAATATATGATCGTCTCAATAGAAGCAGAGAAGGCATTCAATAAAATCCAACACCACTTCATGCTAAAAAGTGCCTAAACAAGGCAGGCATGGAAGGAACATTCTACAACTCAATCAATATAATATATGAAAAACCCAATGCCAGTATCATACTGAATGGGGAAAAACTGGAAGTGTTCCCATTAAGATCTGGAACTAGCCAAGGATATCCACTTTCACCATTGCTATTCAACGTAACATTGGAAGTCCTTACTTGGGATTTTAGGCAAGAAAAAGAAATTAAGGGAATTGAGACTGGGAATGAAGCATTAAAATATCCCTGTTTGCAGATGACATGATTCTCTACACTGGAGTACCAAAGGACTCAAGAAAGAGGCAATTGGAACTCAGAGAGAGTTTAGCAAAGTAGCAGGATACAAGATCAATGCACATAGGACTCAGCAGGATGGCCTAGTGGCTAAATCCTTGCCTTGAATATGCTGGGTGAATATGATGCTGTTAATAAACTTTGGCTATTCACCATCAGTCAGTAGTCCTTGTGTGTGATGATTGGCTCTGGCCATAAAGTCCCTCACTGCTGGACAGTGAACAGGGCTGTACATACCTGTACACACATGTATACACACACACAGTTCTCTGAAAAGTTCATAGATGGGACCTGCAATATGGCATAGTAGGCTAGGCCTCCGTTTGTTGTGCTAGTATCCCATATGGTCACTGGTTCTAAACCTGGCTGTTCCACTTCTAATTCTACTTTCTATTTATGGGCTGGGAAAGTTACAGAAAATGATTCAAGTCCTTGGGCCCCTGCACCCAAATGGGAGACCTGGAAGAAATTCCAGGCTCCTGACTTTGGATTGACTCAGCTCCAGACACAGCAGCCATTTGGGAAGTGAACCAGCAGTTGGAAGATTTCTCTCTCTCATTCTCCTTCCACTCTGCATTTCAAATAAAAATAAAATAAATAAAAAGAAAAGTTCACAGAAAATGCACAAGACCTTTTAGTTACATCTTTACATGAATTTCTGAAGTACTGCCATGTATTTTATGAAAGTAATTCATTGCATACCTATCAGAATAGTCACAATCCAAAGCAGTGACAGCACTAAATGCTGGCAAGAATTTGGAACAACAGGAACTCTGATTCACTGTGGCTGGGAATGCCACCTAGCACGGTTAGTTAGGAATAGCTTGGCAGTTCCTTATTAAACCTTCCATATGATCCACATGATCTAGCAGTTGTGCCCCTCACTATTTACTCAAAGGACTTAAAAAAATCACAGCTACATACACACACAGACCTGCACATGGATATTTATAGCAGCAGCATCCATGATTTCAAAATTTGTAACAATCAACATGTCCTTGAGTAGGAGACTGAACAAAATATGGGACATCCAGACAAGGAAATATTATTCAGGTAAAAATAAATGAGGTATCGCAGTAAGTGTTTGGTGTAGTGGTTCAGATATTACTAGGAATGCCTGCATCCCATGCTAGAGGACCTGGGGCCAAGCCTGGCTCTGTAATTACCCCTTTCTGATAAAGTACACTCTTGGCAGGCAGCAGATGATAGTTCAATAGCTCCTGGGTCTCTATTATCCACATGGGAAACATGGATTGAATTCTTGCCTCCTGACTTTGGCCTGGTCCAGACTTGGCTGTTATAGGCATTAGACAACTAAACCAGTAGATAGGAGATCTCTGTCGGTCTTACAAATAAGCTTGGGACCAATGTGATGGGTCAACTGGTTAATCCTCCACCTATAAGTGCCAGCATCCCAAATGGGTTCCAGATGTTCTGGCTGCTCCACTTTCCATTCAGCTTCATGCTTGTGGCCTGGGAAAGCAGTAGAGGATTCCCCAAGAACTTGGTGCCCTGCACCCACATAGGAGACCTAGAAGAAGTTCCTGGCTCTTGCTTTAGACTGGTTAGACCCGGGCCATCGTAGACACTTGAGGAGTGAACCAGTGCATGGAAATCTTTCTCTTTGTATCTTCTCTCTGTAAATCTGCCTTTCCAATCAAAACAAATCTTAAAACAAATAAAGAAGCTATGGAACCATGTAAAGACATGGTAGACTCTCACATGTAAATATCTAAGTGAAACCTGAAAAGGCTATGTATTGTATTATTACAAATATAGAACATCTCGGAAAAGGAAAAACTGGAGAATTCTCTGTACTTGCCACTTGGTTTTGTTGTAAACCTACAAATGCTCAATAGAAGCAAGCTTATTTTAAAAATATTTTTAAAAGCAATATTTGTAAACTTAAATTATATAATGTGATTATCCCACAGGTCTAGCCAGCACTTACCCAGCTGACCAAGATGCCATACAATTTCAAACCTCATAGTTATAAATTATCACTCATGTAACCTAATCTTCCCTCCCTACTTTCCACTTATCAAATCTTAGTGTCTAACACTTCGAAGTCCAGCTCAGTGATACCAAGTTCATGAAGCCTACCCTGATCCCTCACTCTAATTGTGAGCTCCTTCTGATAATCTTCTGTATCACAAAATGTCATTCTGCTGGGCTTATGGCATTATAACCAAACTGTTAAGTAAATATAAACTTATAAAAATCAAGATCTAAAAATTCAGGCATACATATGACCCTGCTACCAGATGAGAATGGGGTAAACAGCAGGAAATAATCCAGAGCCCCTTTTCGTGGTCTCGCTACCCCTGAGGTACAGTTGTTGTTATTTATGACTGTCCTGGGTTTCCTTCCTTTCTCCCACTTCACTTGAAGTGCTACCTAATCCAGTCCTCATTTCAGGTTATAACCTATTCATTTACATGCTTATATATAGTCTCTCACGCCTACCGTAATTTGAGAGCAAGGACTTCTCATTCATCTATTTCCCTACACTCTCTCAACCAACTATACCATGTATGAATCAAGTATGTCCTTTTTATTTAGCTGAAAGGCAGACACAGGACAAGAGAGATCTTCCATCTGCTCAATTCCTCCCCCGATACTGATAAAGGCAGGAGTTGAGCCAGGACAAAACCATGAAACAGAAACTCTAGGCACTCTGATATGGGATGCAGGCACACCACTTTCTGAACTTAGGAACTTATTCATCCAAATAGGAACAGTGTTAACAATTCATTATGAAAATTGCTTCTTGAATGTTGAAGTTGATATCACTGTTTCTTTACTGTTTCAATTTGAAGGCCCTATAAATGACAGGCTTCTCTGCTATTTTCCTGCCACTATGAAGACAAAGACATTTGCATTATCAAACTGGATTTCTTTAAAAGATTTATTTATTTACTTACTTACTTACTTATTTATTTGTCAGCATTACGGACAGAAAAGGAGAGAGAGAGAGAGATCTTCCTCTGCTGGTTCATTCCCTAAATGGCTCCAATATCCAGGGAGCATTTTCTGGGTCTCCCACATGGGTGGCAGAAACCTAAACACTTGGGCCATGTTCCACTACTTTCCCACACCATTAGCAGGGACCTGAATCAGAAGTTGAAAAGGTGAGACATTAACTAGTACCTGTATGGAATTTCAGCATTGCAGGCAGCAGCTTTACTTGCTGTGCCACAACACCAACCCCAGTCAAACCACTTTAACCATTTTAACTATCAAGGTTTTTACACAATGAAATTGTAAAACTTTATGTTGTGTGGCAATCAAGCTTGTTCCAGGAAAACTTGGACAATGAAGTTATAGAGTACGTCAATCATCTTACCGGAAAAGGCATTTAACCTACTGTTTAAAATGCCTCTATGCCTGTGTTCATTTCAGCTCAACTTCCTGTTTCCAGCTTCTTGCCAACGCAAACCCTGGGATCCAGCTGGGGATGGCACAAGTAATTGGTACCCTATGACCCATGAGGGCCAGCTGTGGCTGTTGTAGGCATTTGGGGACTAATTAGAAAAAAAGAGAGAGAATGTGTTTGTGTCTTTCTGTAGTTATGCCTCTCAAATAAAACATTTTATCCTTATTAATATTAATCATTTCAAACATACAGAAATTTGCAACTAACTTCCTCTCAGGTTTACCCCACTTAGTAGCAAGTCTTCATGCTATCACATTATAAAGCTGTTGTTTAAAGTGCAGCCCTCACCACGCATTTTAACATGGGCAGAAGAGAATCAAACACACCTGTCAGCTCCAAACACTTTAAATACAAAAAAAAACCTACAAGGTGATTTGTTCTTCACATTTTTCTTTTATATCATTCATAACTACCTCTAACATCAGCCAAACTTCGCAATAGAATCTGATTATTGAATGCTGATTTCAAAAGGAAAAACAACTTACATTTTTACTTTTAAAATCAGAAAACATCCAGGCGCATGTCACATTAGCAAGCCTTTAACACAAAGAACAAGCTACAAATAATGCAAGGATCAGCACATGTTGCCAGCACAGGCCTAAAATCCATTACCCTTTAACCAGGCCCACAGGACTTGAAGGGATCATTAATTCCCCAACATCAGGCTGCTGGATGATGCCTATATTCTATGAAGCTTTCTAACTTACAAATTTTAAAAGAAAAAACCTGCCAGAAAGTTCCTTCATATTTTTTTTTTTTACCAGCTAATAAACTATGGAGAAAAGTAACAGGATGATACACGTTTAAATAAGCACTGGCCCAAAACCAAAGAGCAAAACAGCATGTGGACTTCAACTTTCACACCTGCTCCCCCAGGTCAAGACCAACTTCTAAAAGGCACCCTTAAACTATTACTCCTTTTCCTGCTCCCAAAAGGGTCCTAGGTAAGCCCCAATGGACCCACCGGGCACTGCCAGGTAATGAGGAACAGGAATAGTTATTCCCTGGAATCAGCTGAAACAGATGCTTGGACCAGACCAAGGGAAGGCACCTGGAGAGAAGGGGCCCACGTGCATCTCTGCTGAATGTTAGAAATGCTGAATGTGTACGCATATACTTAGGAAGACACCTACAGCCTTCCAGGACACAACATGCAAATTTTCTAACTCCCATCCCTCCAAGCATATCTGGCTTGGGACTGCTGGGAGGTCCAAAAACTGATAGAAGACCTTTAATGATCTGAGGAGCACTTTTCCCATGTGAACAACAAGAGCAGAGAATTTTGAAGGAAGCTGGTGTGTATGATCTCTTTAATAACTGAAACCCTATACACACTATTTAATGGTTAGCTATTGACATGACTGGAAAACAAAGCTTATCCAAAAAGGTCCCCTAAGCTCTGCCAAAGAGACCAGAGCCTAGAAATCAGCCGAGAAAAGATCAGGGTTGTTTGGCTTGTTTCATCTGGAAAGAGCAAGATGCTACTGTAAAATACTTCACGCTTTGCAGCCCAAGCCGCAATATTCCCAACCCACGGCGCGACTACTCTTCCTGAAAGGCGAATATAGGCTTTTGTTTGAATTTTTACATCTCAAACTTTAAGAACTGTTCGCAGTTCATGGCCCATCGGAACAGAGGCGGCATTGCCCTCTGTCAACCCACGGTCACTCCCAAATTTGCCAATCCCTGGATAAGATGATAATCATGATATTACAATAGGTGCTTTTCAAAAACATTAACAAATGGTTGTGGGTGATAAAACGTGACTGAGATAAAAGTGTTGTCCCAAACGTCTGAAGCGCAGACAGGAAGGATCAACGTGGTAGGGAATTCGGCCAGGACCAGAAGCAGGGCCTCGGCAGCCATGAGGGCCTTCCCACGGCTCTCTGGTTCGCCGAGCCCCCTCCCACACTTACTCCCAATAGCGGCCCGCGACCGATCACCGTCTCCCCGGGCGCCAGAGCCACCCGGGGTCCGCCATCCCGCGGCTGCAGCTCGAAGCCCCCGGACATGGCGGAGCAGGGCCAGGCCCCTTCGCCAGAGGACGGCCCAGCAGCCGCTTCCGCCTCCACGCGCGAGGAATGTCCAGGCCTCGGCAAAACACGGAGGTGAAGAGGAGCTAAGACTGGGATCCCCGGGGATCGGTGTCCACCGGGCAGCTGCCCCGGACCGGCTTCCGGAGTCCCGCCCCTCCACCTGTGTCGTGACGCACTCAGGAATTCCCCCACCGCGCCTTCAATAGTGTAGTTTAAAAGCCCGGGTTTGTACGCCCCTTCCCTTTTCACCACCCACGGGGCCCGGAGCATCCTGGGCATTGTAGTCCCTAGCGCCTTCCTCCCCACTTTGTTCTAAGATGAGACACCCTAGAGAAACTACAATCCCAAAAGGCAATGCGGGCGCCTCTCTGCGCCTGTGCGAATCCAGTCAGCCAGGCGGCCCTTGAGGGGCGGGATCTGGAGGACGGTGGGAATGGTTTCGAATTCCGAAGGATATAAGCCGCGGGAGGAGCAACCACCGCGGACCAGTAGGTAGGAGGGTCTTCCGTTCCTCACGGCGTTGGTGTCGGCGCGTTCGGGGGCGCGGCCTGGGCGCCAGCGCAGGCTTATCTTCCGCGGCCTGGAACCGTGGTGAGCCTTCGGACTGTCGTTCCTTGCCAGCGCCGGTTTTGGGGGTCTGTAGCAGAGGTGTCAGACACAAGAGAAGGATGGCTCCAATGGGACGTGGGGTCGTCACCCCGGAGCTGAGGAACCCAGACGGGGTGGCGTCCCCCAAGAACCAGTGGGAACTGAGAGGCTGCCCACCTCTGCGAATGCGCTGCCTGGCTCCTTTAGAGAGGGGGGCTAGCGCTCACCTAATTGCAGAGGTCATTCAGCAAAGGTCGATGGGTGAGTGAAGTTAGAAAAGATTTCAGGGACCTTCCGAAGACAGCCCCCGCTGACTGAAAATTCCCCAGTGAGCCCTGGGGAAGTGGCAAGCATTCAAATGCACAGAAACAATCCCCTAAAACAAGATTCTACACTAGAATATGGAGGTTTGGTTTTGGTTTGTGTTGATGATGGAAAGAAGTAAAGTGTGTGGTGGCCAAAACTTGCTCCTGTTTAGTGCTTTATTTAAAAAAAAAAAAAATCTGTGTTTTTAACTAGTTTGCTTTCTTCCCCAATCTCTGGAGAGGATGTGTTCGGTGGAAGAGACACTCACTTTTAACCACCACGACTATAATCTGGGTTGTAAACAACCTAATGAATGAGCACCACCATGATCTTGGCAAGCCCTGAGACAGATATTACACAGCACGTCTAGTTGAGTTAAAAGGCGTGTTTAGCTGTATTTCAAACTCCTCTTCCTGTGTCACCACCTCCTATCAGAAAAGGAAGTGCCAAATGTAGTGAAGTGAATGTAAGTACACACAGGCTAACTTGTCAGAAATACCTCAGGAGAGGTGCTGGACCTAAATTGGTTTTCTTTTTTTAAGGTTTACTTTTAATATTGTGCATGCTCAAGTGGTCCTGCAATTAGGGTGGGCAGGGTCAGATGTGGAGGAAGGTGAGTAGGACACAATTTCAGTCTTTTTTCCCTCCTGTGTCTACAGAAGAGGAGGGGGAGTCAAACTACATCAACACCCAGGGATGGGAAACAGTCCTTTGATGACATCATAGTGGCCCCCAGTGTGGGGCAGAGTGTTCTGAGAGTGTTACTTGAATGGTTTCCACAATCCTGAGATGTTGTTGGTTTCATTGCTCCAGAACTGTGAAAATCTTTCCAAGGTCTTCTGGTTGACAAAGTCCACCTTGGTGCATGAACACACCCAGGAACATGCTGCAAAGCTTGGCCAGGAGAGTGGTGCAACCGGTTCTGCTTTCCATCCTCTGATGTGGCAATTGGCATTCCTTGCTGGCGTAGATGAGCTGGCTGTCGTATTCCCTGTGTTCAGCAGTCTAGTTGGGATGACCAGCACAGGATCAGTTTCAGTCTGTCACCTACACCAGCCAGCACACATACTGGTGTCTAGCTTGGTCAGTTGTGCCTTAGCCCTATAGCTCTCATAAACCAACAGGTGCTACAGCCCAGGGACTTTAATTATCACATGCTCTCAGTGACTGAATTACAGACATTATCTGTGATTGTTCCTTGCTGTTGCTTGATGGCTTCAGGGACTCTTAGATCTATTTAATTAATATCTGTGGGATAACTTAAAAGAGTCATTTCTGAAATATCTACCTTGTAACAGGATTGAATATTTGAAACTTAGGATTATTATAAGCCAGATGCCATCCTTTTGTCCATTTCACATAGTATTTGTATCAAATGTGACTACCTGTACATGAGATATAAGTCCCACTGATTTATGGCTAAGTCACAAATCGCAACTGAAGAACTGTATACCACAATATCAGTTTCCACAACCAACAAGGACTCAGGAATTTTTCTAAAGTATTTGCAATAAATACTTCAGTATGTTCTCACATTAGCGATTATCAGCACTAAACTCAGTGATTGTGGTCCAACATGGGGAAGAATCATTTCCTTGTTCTAGATAATTTTATCAAAGATTTATTTCTACTTCAAAGACAGAGTTATAGAGAGAAGAAGACAGAGAGAGAGATCTTGCATCCACTGGTTCACTCACCAAATAGACCCAAAGGCTAGAGCTGAGCTGGATGGAAGCCAGGAGCCAGGAGCTCCCTACTGATCTCCCATGGAGGTGCAGAGACATGGCTTTGGGCCATCCTCTACTACTCTCAGGTCATTAGCAGGGAGCTGGATCAAAAGTGGAGCAGCCAGCACAGGAACCAGTGCATATAAGGAATACTAGCTCAAAAGACAGAAGTTTGGCATATTGTGCCATGGTGCTGGCCACTAAATAACAATCTTTGGGAGCGAAACAGAAATTTTGAAACATTTATTTAAAAAAATAACCTTGTGATGAGTGCCTCCCATGTGCAATTCAAATGTAAGATTAGCTGTTTCATAAATGTCATCTCTTATCTTTGCAAGAACATACAGGAGAGAAGTGTTGACTCCCTTCTACTCAAGTCAAAAACATCAGAGTTCTTTAAATCACAACCAAAAAGCTTCTGACTCAACAAGATTTATAGTCTGGTCTAAAGAGATTGAGTATATTTAAACTTTACCTTTTAGGTTGCATATGAGGAAAACTGAAGCATCAAGATATGAAGAAAAATTCTAAAAACAATAACTCCAGCGCTTCTGATATAGACGTTAACTTTGTGAATGCTGAACAGGAAAGAAATGAGAGTCAAAAATAACTTTGTCAAACTGCTGCCTCTGGAAGTCACACTTAAAATCTTCAGTCAGCTAGACATTCGGAGTTTGTGCAGGGCTTCCATGACGTGCAAGAGCTGGAATTATGTGATAAGAAAGAATGATTCCTTATGGAAATCCCACTGCTTGACTGTAAGAGCTGTGTGCCAAAGAGAAATAGATGACGACCTAGAAAGTGGCTATTCCTGGAGGGTAAGTTTAATCCTTGCAGTGTGTAGTGTTTTTAACACGCTGTGGGAGCAGATTTCAGTCCTCACTTGTTTGGAGGAAGTAGAATTGTGTATGCAAAATAGTATGCTGAGTATGTTGACTTGGAAATGGGTTAAAGTTGAGCTACTGTTCTTCTGTGAACCATATTCTCCATCTATTCTCCCATCCATCTTTTTGTATTCTTTTAAATCCTGAATTCAGGATTTCGCCTCTGCTACTGAAGAAAAAGTGGCTACTTTGTTTTACTCTGTCTTATCTAAAACTTGCGGTAAATCTGGCTCAATCTGTTTACCTGTACATACTCACGTACATTTATTAATATATGTGTACATCAGTGTAAATGTTGTCTTCCCAGCTCTTTCCATCAGCTTCTCTAGTTCCAAACAAATTCAGTACTGACCACTACTACATTCTTTTTTAATGATGGTTTACCTCTTGCAGGTAATACTACTAAGGAATTACCAGAAGAGTAAAGTGAAACATGAATGGCTAAGTGGCAGATACAGCAACATATGTTCTCCAGTTAGCCTACCAGAGAAAATCATGTACCCCATGGATGCAGATACATGGGGGGAGATTCTAGAAGCAGAACTGGAAAGATAAGCAGAAAAAAAATCAGAAACAGATCTCCCAATTTGGAGAGTTTAAAATGACTCTGAGCTTGTTGTGTGAGGTTTGCCTAAATCTGCTTATTTTCTGTCACCTTTTAATATTTAAAAGTGAAAATAGTATAATAGTAAAATTTTATTTTCTTTTGCACTAAAGTAAAAATATTTTCTGATTTTATTGTAATGTGGAAATCATGCAGTGTTATTTTTACAAGAAATACTGATGGATTTGTTTCTGGATGCAGTCACAGGACTCTCAATGATAGAATTTGACTTGTATTTTCAACTTAACGATATTTTGAAAGCTCGGGAAATCACTTGAAGAAAACTGACTTTAAGATTCATTAAGTGGTAGAAATAACCAGCCTCCTAGGCAAACCAGCTAAATAAAATGAACATATTTCCATGACTAGTAAATTTATTTCAATAACTTTAAAATTTTCATTTCAGTGGACTTCAGATCAAATTGTCAAATAGTGAACATGTCCTAAAATTTGTTAAACCTGTGATTTAGTTTAAAATTAAATCTTTAGGCATAAAGCTTGTCCTATTACTTTCCTACAAACTGGGGATTGCTTTCATGGGGCTGAAAATATATGGAAAGTTTTCAGAATAATGGCGTCAGAAGTGCCATCCTGTTTGATGATGGCGAAACCTCCCAACAGCCTTACAGCACCATCTAGTGTACTGCTCCTGGATACCAAGACAAAAGGACCAAGCTCCTTAGCTTCCATAGTGAAAGGAAAGAAAAATAATATTTTAAAGAAACATCAAAATACTTGTTTTTTTAAAGTTTAGGTGTGCAGAAAAAATTGTTTCTTTTAAAATCAAATTATATAGGTCTCACTACAGTAGCTTTATCACTCTAAATCTCTGGTCAGCATCATAGTAAAAAGTGTCTAAAGTGTTTTAATTAGTTGGGGTTTTCTTCTTATAATTTGCTCCATAGGAAAAAAAAACAAATTGGGATGAACTCAGTATTTGTCAATTAGACAAATATCATGGAGATGCTCCACTATGTACAGATTCCCTTTGGGGACAAGTGGGTGATTATCTTCTACTGTTGTCTGTGTAGAGTTGGAAGAAGCCTTGAAAATCAGGCAGCCCAGTCTCCAGGGCTATTCAGTAGTTTCCTCTGTAGGAACACCAACCATCCAGCCAGCTCAAATGCAGAATTTACAGTGATGGAATCTTCATCACAACACCAAAGAGGCCTGTATAATTCTAGGATTGCTCTGCTCTTTAGAAATTCCTCCTCATTGAACTGAATATAACCTTTCTGTAACGGTTGCTTGGTTCTGCCCTCTACAACTGAACTTGTCCTGGCCTTCTCTATGATTACCATTCAGGTGTTAAAGATGGCTGGCCCATCTCTTTCTGCGTCATGTTCTTAGTCCCTTCTGCTAACCAGAGTGTAATTTTTAGGTCCAATAGCATTCTTCCTTCTGTGCATGTTGACAAGGTGTACCTGGAAAAGAAGGTATATTGATAATTTGTTTAAATAAGTGATGGTAAGAAAGCACTGTAAAAATTTTCAAAGCATAAAGAACATTAAAGCTAGAAAGCATTCTACTGAATAGCATCTGTACAATAGTGTATAAGTACTTACGGTGTTCGTAGCTACTATTTGTAGTGGATGTGGCTTATCTTTGTACAATCTCTTGTGTTAATGGAGATCACCCTAGCCAAGGGGAACCGCCTTGCTCAGTGTTCCTCAGGCTGGTTATTTACAGTATCCCCCGATTTCTGTGTTTGGTTCAGGGCCGAGAATATGACCTAAACCAGCCTCCTCCATGAACTACAAGAGAGAAGCCTTCTCCTCTTTGGTGATAAAACTGTTTTCCATCACATAGAGAAAGCAGAACCTAGTAAGAAAATATGGAGTCAACAGAAGAATTTTATAGTTGCAGGGAGAGGCCTACTTGTAGTCAAGATCTTTCTTGCAGAGTTTCCAGGTCTGCTCACCCAAACTAAAATTCAGTTTTGGCATTTTTATTACAAGCCCAGCATTTGTGATTTCCTTTTCCTATATTTCAAGTGTTTATTATCCATAACTTACATTAGTATCTTAGTTTTTATCCTTATAGCTGATAATTATATGTCCACATAGAAAGGGTTCCTTGCCTCATCACTCATTCACTTCTTAAGCCACTGTAATTCTGCCTCACTCATGTGATTTAAACTTGTTATCCAAGTAACAAGAGAATTACTACATTCATTGGCTATATTTTAGTTGCTAACGTATTGCACATAAGCATTCACTTCTTGAAACGTTCCTCTTAGGTTTATAGTCTCTTAGGGATTATAGTCTCTTGGATTTTTCCTTTCCTAGTGTAACCAGTCTTCTCCGTTCCTTCTCACTTTTCCTCTTCTGATCTTTAAAGTTGATGATCCTCAAGGTTCAGGCCATGGTCCTCTATATGTTTTGGACATCCTGGGTGATCCCAGCTACTCCTCCCGTGTCAGTCACCATTGCTGGTGCTGATGACATCCCATCTGTGTCTCAAGATCAGATCTTCCTAAACACATATGCCACAGTCTGTCTAACTAAATCACAAACTCTTGGATCAGGACTCATCATCTCACAGAGCCGGTTCTTCCTACAGACTCTAGATTTGCCACTACCCCAAGACAGTCACTGTTTATTCCTTTTCCCTGTCATTCTCTATAGAGTCAATTCTTGCTGATTTTATTATTCACATGTCTAAGTAGTAAGACTCTTCTCTTTTTCTCTACTTCATTACATAATTCTGATTTTTATTTGAAGTTTGGATTTTTACAATAACTATCAACCATCAACCCCTGACCTAAACTCCTCATTGCAGTTAGGTAGAAAGCTTATCCCTAGCAAAGCCTGTGAGGCATTTAATGATGCAGTTCGTCCTGTATCTCTAGCCTTTCCTCTCATAGCTGTCCCTCATTGAAACTTTCAGCTCTGCCACACCAAACTATTTGTAGTTGTGTGAACATGAAAAGTATCTCACTTCCCTGCCTTTCCATAGCATGTTTGATATCCCTGTGCTGTTCTTATCCACCACTAATTCCTTTCTTTCAAAATATTTTATAAAACTTCTTCATTATGGCCTGGAAACCATCCTTAATAATCTGGATTAAGTGACCCTGGTAAGGTTTCTGTAGTACTTTGAGCATTCCCCTGCAAAGCCGTCGTCCTGTATTAAATTGTCTATCTTATTTGTTTCTCTACCTCTTTAAACCATGAACTTCTTAATGTGGGGACTGTTTTTTATTGATTTTTGTGTTCCCAAACTTAGTACGTAGTAGATGTTTCATAAACATCTGTTAAATTATTTATGCAATTATTTATTTTAACCCTACCATGAATGTATAATAAGAATAATTTACTATATTGTTATTGGACAAAATTTGCTCAAATGTAATGTACAGTCCTTAAAAACATATGTGGTATTGATCTTGATCTTAGTTCTAGTCTTCTCTAAAGCTGTAACAGGAAAATTGGAAACTAAAATTATAATGTCTTTTTAATAAACTCTTCGAAACAAACAACCCCAAAATATCATTGGTTATTTTAACTTACTGGGTAACCCTAGTTAATTTTAAGCAATACTTGTGCAAAAAGTTATGTGAATAAATTTTAGAATTTTTAGTACTAATACATTCAAACAACTTTACAATATGTTATAAACTGACTACAGCTTACACTGAAAGGAAAACTTCAGAACTTAGTATTGAATTGCATGATGTGGACCTCAAATGATCCATGTGTTTATCAGACCAGACCATTAGCATGTGTGAATATGAGTGGGCGGGCAGAATAGATGTAGGAAGTACACTTACTCTTAGATAAAAATAACATGCTGAGTACACCCACTATGTAAAATAAGAAATATTACTAAGCAAAAATACTAGAGAACTTCAAGTATTGGGAAGAATACACAGGGTGGAAGATCACATGTTTATATTTAAGAGTTGAAAAATTAAAACATGGATGAAGTGAACATAGCAGATTAATTATAATAGCCAACAGTCACTGAGTGCCTGTCCTGTGCCAGGCATCTTGTTCTCACTGTACCTCCACTTTATGATTCAGAAAACAAAGAAAATGAGCTGACCAGTTAAGTTCATCACCACATTTCAAAACCTGTAAGACTATGTGAAACATAGTAGTTACTCAATATGTTTACTGAATGTATTTTAAAACTTGGAATAAACTGTTCATAGGGAAGAGCCAAGAATGTTCCTCCAAGTTTTTGTTCTGAAAAAGCTTCAAACCAGAGCTTGGCAGGTAACCCAGTGGCTGAATCCTCGCCTTGTATCTGGCGGGATCCCATATGGGCACTAGTTTGTGTCCTGGCTGCTCCACGTCTCTTTCAGCTCCCTGCTTGTGACCTGGGAAAACAGTGAAGAACACCCCAAAGCTTTGGGGCATCGGAGACCCAAAGAAGCTCTCGACTCCTGGCTTCAGATCGGCTTTGGATCAACTCAACTCCAGCCATTGCAGCCACTTGGGGAGTGAGCCAGCTGATGGAAGATCTTTCTCTCTGTCTCTCCTTCTCTCTATAAATCTGCCTTTCCAATAAAACTAAATAAATCTTAAAAAAAAAAAAAAGAAAAAGAAAAACTTCAAACTCGTAGAAAAGTAAAAATGCCACAATTATATATACCACCAACCAAGATATATCAATATTTATGCATGCATGCATGTTGAGGCATTTGGAAATAAGTTGCAAACATGATGACACTTTATACCTAAATACTTCAGTGTGTATATCTCATGACATTAAGTGCACATTCCTGTGTGAAATTTGCCAAAACTTTTTGTTTAAAATTGATTTATCTGTCAGTGTGAAAGAGCAACATAAAGACAGGAACAGATTTTTCATCCTCTTAATTCACTTCTCAAAAACTTGCAACAGCCAAGTCCATGCCAGGCTAAAGCCAAGAGCCAGGAACTCTGTGTCTCCCACATAGGCAGTGGGGTCCCAAATACATGGGCCACTGCCTTCTTAGTCACATTAGCAGGAATTCGGGTCAAAAGCAGAACAGCCAGGATTCCAGCTGGCACTAGAGTATGGGATGCCTTCATCTCTAATGCTGCATCACCAATGCTTGCCTAGCCTGCTGCACGCATCAGACCTAAGTCATCACATCTAAACCTTGTTATATTAATTCCATAATATCTAATTTACAATCATATTGTAATTCTTTGGCTCCCAAAGTGTCTCTTACAGATTTGCTTAAAGTTCAGGCTGCAAACAAGCTTTACATTTGCATCTGATTTTTATGTCCCCAGTGTCTTTCAGCCAAAATCATTCTGCCTTTAGTTTTGTTTTTCAAGATATTGGCAAGTGTTTAAGGATTGGAGTTAATTTATACAACAGAATATTGTGTAATTGGTATTCCTGATTTTCTTTTCATGACTTGATTAAACTACAACCTATTTAGCAATTATGCTACATATGTGAAGTAATACTGCATCACATAAAGGCACATGATATCTGATCTATAGGAGATGGGACAACTAATTGGAGTGGTAATCACTAAATCTCTCCCCTTTTAGGACATTTCTCCATAGATCCAAGATTCCTTTCTTCAGCAGTCCATTTCTTGGCCAGCTCTATGCTAAGTACTTTATAGAGATCATCTAACACGTGGCTAGTTTCCTCCACATGTTTGCCAAACTCTGAAACTGCAGAACTGGAGACTGTGGAGCTAAGTTAGAGACAAGAAGAGGAATTTCTGTGCAGTCCTGTTCTTCAATTAGAGTTGGGGGCCCAGCAGAAAGAAAGAACTTGATGTTCCCAAGTTGGAACCCCTGACAGGTTCCAAGTAAAGAGCTCCAGCCTCAATTCAACTAAATCCCTGCTTTCATGTAGGCATGCAAAGCTTCCTGCTTGCTGAGAACGGGGTGACTCCTCCCAGGTTCTCATATCCAATGTCTCCATTCAGTAAAATATTATTTGACATGCTAAAAAATAGAACTAAGTAATTGGAAATCATTAGAAGAAGAACAGATAATAGGAACAGAATCATAGGGATTTAAAAATAGTTATGATTCATGTTTTCAGGAAAATGAAAGGAGCAATAATGCAAATAAAAATAAGGACTTCTATCAGAAAATTAGAGAATGAAGAACTCAATAGAAATTTCAGGATTTTAAAATATAACAGAATTTAAAACAGTGTGTAGATGAACCAAAGCTTTCTTATCCAATCTTCTGCTGATGGGCATTTTGGTTGCTTCCATGTTTTTGCAATTACTGATTGTGCTGCAATGAACATAGGGATGCATGTTGGTTTGTCGTAAAACAGGTGTTTTGGATATATTCCTAGGAGTGCTATTGCTGGGTCATATGGTATGCAGATTTTGAGTTGTTTGAGTGTTCTCCAGACTGATTTCCATAAAGGCTGTACCAATTTGCAGCTCCACCAGCAGTGGAGTAGGGTTCCCTTTTCCCCGCATCCTCGCCAGCAAGCGTCGTTGGTGTTCTTGTTTATGTGGGCCAATCTTACTGGTGTTAGGTGGTACCTCATCGATGTTTTAATTTGGATTTCCCTTATTGCTAGGAATACTACTCAGCTATTAAAAAAAACAAAATGCAGTTCTTTGTGGCTAAATGGGCACAACTGGAAACTATAATGCTAAGGGAAATGAGCGAATCCCAAAAGATTAGATACCACATGTTTGCCTTGATTTAACCTGTAATTTTTTGTTTGGTTGTTTGTTATTTTTTGAACCTGTCATTGATACTGTCTCAACCCAGATGTTTCGAAGAAGGGAACTTGCATTATTTTTAACATATTGTTTACCCAATACTATGTCAATTAATTCCATAATGTTGTATATTGATACTGAGGCCTTGTTGGGGCTTTTAACTGACCGGATCTTTACTCTGTTAGACCTATCTTCAGACCATAGAACGTCTCCCCAAGAGGCCACTGGACTTATCTGGACAATAAGACGCTGAACTTTATGCTAGGCATGTGTTTGCAAGCAATGAATCTCAACTGAACTTGAACTATGGTTATGCAACAAGGTGGAGGAATCCACCATGGGGGAAGGGGTATGGGAGGGGTGGGGGGAATCCCCAGCGCCTATAAAACTGTACTACATAATACAATGTAAGCAACAATAAAAAAAAAAAAAACCAGTGTGTATATTTAATAGCAGAATGGAACACTTCCAAAAAAAGCATGTGTGGACTAAGCAACTGAGCAATTGAAAAATGCTTAGGGAAACACATGGTGAATAAATGAATTTAAGAGGATTTAGAGATTATGAGACTGACGCTAATGTCTGGTATATCCACATCAGATTTCCAGAAGAGGTAAAGAAGAAAAGATGGCCTTCAAGTTTATTGGGTCACTGAAAGATCTGGGAAAGTTCTCATGTGTCTTGGAAAGGCCATGGAAGCAGCAGAGAAGGAAGGCAGGGAATCCCAAGACAGAAGCCAGAGATTGCCTCAGCCTCACTGCTGGTGGGATCTGACCCAGGCAGGCGACAGCCCCAACTGTGCTGAGAACAGACTGCAAATCACAGTGGCAAATGGTGCAGAAAGAGAAGAAGCCACTCCCACCAATGGAAAGAGTTATCTGGAGAGAGACACCAGGAGTAGAAGATGGCATGCTTACACGTGCTGCCAAGCTGTGATTGCTTCCCCTGGATGCCAGCAAAAGAGGGAAGAAGGGAAAAAGAAGGAGGAATTCCACATAGTGGTGACAGAATAAGAAGTAAAATGCAGGAGTTTCACACAGGAACTTTACTTTGTTATGAACAGGTCCCAACTTTTGCACAAGACATACTAAAAAAAAATTACTCCTTTTATCTGAAATTCAAATTTAACAGATTCAGATCTTACCTGGTAACCCCAGCTTAAAAGACCTAGTCATGCACTGAACCTGAGTGAAGAAAGAATATGGTGAGTACCATCGGTGGACAAGACTGATTTTTACAGTGTGTCTCACCCCAATCTCAACTCCACTTTCCTTGAGGAACAGAAAATGCAAACTAATGAGCGGTGATCATGTATGGAAACCCAGACTCTTCTGGGGCCTGCTCTACTGAGACATCATCCAGCATGTCTCAATTCCACCCCACTGTGGTAGACACAGGCTGTTAAGGGACTTTCTTCTAGAACCCAGGTTCTAGGGAAAATGTAGAATGGCAGTCTGTTCTGCCTTGAAATCCACAAACATATCTGGGGCTTTCAATGCTAGAGAAAGGTAGGGCAGGACCTGCAGAGATGCCTCATGTAACTCTCTTTTTCTCTTCTCTAAATCCCTTTTTAAACATTTTATTATGGAAGAGTTTTGAACATATTAAAAATATATATGGGATTGGATGGACCCGGCGGCGTGGCCTAGCAGCTAAAGTCCTCACCTTGAACATGCCAGGATCCCATTTGGGCACCGGTTCTAATCCCAGCAGCTCCACTTCCCATCTGGCTCCCTGCTTGTGGCCTGGGAAAGCAGTCGAGGACGGCCCAAAGCTTTGGGACCCTGCACCCATGTGGGAGACCCGAAAGAAGTTCCTGGATCCTGGCTTCGGATCAGCATAGCATTGGCTGTTGCACATACTTGGGGAGTGAATCATTGGACAGAAGATCTGCTTCTCTATCTCTCCTCCTCTCTGTATATCTGACTTTGTAATAAAAATAAATAAATCTTTAAAAAAAATATGGGATAATAACACAAAGAGTTCCCATTATTTTCCTACAACCTGGCAAACTCCAGTCACCTTCTAATTGGGAATAGTAGTCAGTCTAGTCTTTTCCTTCTTGGTTTTTGGTTCATTTAATAGACACTGTCCTGATTTTTTTAAGGTTTATTTATTTTTGTTGGAAAATCAGATATACAGAGAGGAGGAGAGACAGAGAGGAAGATCTTCCATCTGTTGGTTCACTTGCCAGGTGACCACAACAGCTGGAGCTGAGCCTGGTCCAAAACCTGGAGTTTCTTCCTGGTCTGCTACGTGGGTGCAGGGTCCCAGGGTTTTGGGCCTTCCTCCACTGCTTTCCCAGGCTTCAAGCAGGAGCTGGATGGGAAGTAGAGCAACCAGGATGCAAACCTCACCCATATGGGATCCTGGCGCATGCAAGGCAAGGACTAATCACTAGGTTGGGCTCTGTCCTGAATTATTTGAAATGAATCGTTTAGAATCAAGAAGAACCCTTTTCTCATGACTATCTTTGCACTGAAAGCCTGTCAGGATTTC